ATTAAGATTATTGATGCAACAGTAAAGGTGCTTGCGACGCAACGGATACGGACTATAACGATAATTTACGACGGTCGAATCGGGTATTATACGTATCCACGTGCGGAAGCGGAAGTTTAAGATAAATCGCGGTGAGCTGTGGGATGATTAGGCGAACGTGGGATTAGGTTGCCACGCAGCCCAGGTCTACAACTTGGCCGCTAGCACAGTTAGGCGCACACCATGCTACTATCGTCACACATTCAGCTCGACATATCATTCGCAGAAATCGCATATGCATTATACCTACATGTACACGGTGTCCATGTTACCACCAAGTTACATACACACACGTTACATAGACACATCAGGCCTCTGGTTACCTGCGGCCATTCACAGTTTTAGATTAACGTCGCAACACTTGCGGGAAATTTACTCATGTTTCACCTCATGGAAAGAATTGGCTAATTCAATCGAATGTTATCGGTTGTTCTTGAAATTCGGAGCTTTTTCAGAGAAATCTAGTCTCTCTATTAAAGCTATTTTCCATTATACAAAATCAGTTGTGGATTTGTAATTATATTAATTACTTTGTACGCTTTAATGACATCGACATAATCATAATTATTCATGATAACGCATACATATTCATATATAAATCACGGCTGTTCTCATACATATCATAACGAATTCGGAATTTCGTCGATCTTTGTAAAATTCCATTGTTTCAGCTCCAATAAGTTTACAGCTTCCAATATTTTTTTTACGCTTATATTTATCCGCGTACTCAGCAGATTGATGATAATACCTGGACATAGCGCGGAATTAACTTTTATGCAAAAGCACGTATATATCACATGCATACGTAAATGGTATGTGGATGTTTCCTGAGCTTCTTTCTAGGGCTGTATTAGCTTTTCCGTAGCTCGTCCCATTTCCATTCTCGTTAATCATGCGCGCACTTCCGTATGTAGATATGTGACAATCGGATCTATTCCTTTCCCGAATATGGACCCGTGGGAAATCTATTCCAACGACTTGTAACTTTTACGCATGGCGACTGTACAATCAACTTCCAATCGCGATGTTTTCTCTCTTCGAAAGTTGTATAAAAGTTTTCTGTGGATATAAATAATTTTGTTCGCTAATGGCGTTACCCTTGAATTCGTAAATAAACCACGTCAGTCATTACCGAAACTTGTACGTAGAAGCGAAAGAAATTAATCGTGTTTCTCACGCGATACATTTTATTTCCACTAAGTTCAATAATTACAAAGCACGCCGAAATTCTGAAGTTTTATCATCATAAATCATCACACACGATACGTGTGCCGAAGCGATTTTCACAAATATACGTATCTCATAAATCGCACATGTCATGTATTACATATCACGCATTAGATATAAATCTTTCCTAGAGTATCTCGTGTAATGAGCTTCTAATTAATTGATGGCGTTACAAGTGGATGATAAGTGGAACCGAGAGAGGAATTATTGCAATATTATGACTGACAGTATTTAACAATCATTTCCAGCTAATCGGTCGACTGGTAAGAATAATTTGCACAAATTGGTAAAAGGAAAGTTTCTCTTTTTTATAGATATTTTTTTTACATACACACGCTGGCCGCAGGTAAAATACAGAACACAGGGCACAGAGCAGAGAGCTTTATCGTGAGTATGTCTTCTCGTCGAGACAAGACGACGGCGAAGTTTCGCATAAATTTTTCCGCGACCCCGATCCGGTTCGATGCCAAGGAATAGTTTGCTCGTAAAAATAGTGTGATCTAACTTTCAGCCAGTAGTCGAGATACTCGACGTCGTGCAGTACACTGAAAGAATCATTCGAACGTAACTACATTCTCTGATATCTCTTCGCGTGTTACAAAGTCTCGACGAGTGGGCACTTAAAATCGCACCTGCATATCACCGATATCGTTTCATTAAGTGTCATATCATTAACAAGCGGGGCGAGCGCGTTCGCACTCACCCCTCCTCGATCGATGTAGTACAGCAAAGGTTTCTTAAGGCTTCTCAACTTAGCGAATAGCACCGTCAATTGACGACTAGTGTCTAAGAGAATTAAAGCAAAATACATTGTTAAGGCCTAATAGATAAAGGAAAAACTTGTTAGAGTGTAATGAGTAACACAGATACAGATAACACATACAGACGCATTTAAATACGCTCACTGAGAGGTCAACTTTTGGTATTTGTAACTGCTATAATTATAATTATTACTACTATAATATTGGTAATAATAATTACATTTATAGTTCTCTAACAGATATATATATAATTAGCAACTGAAAATAATTACAGTTATTGTTACCGTAAATATGGTTTCAGTTAATATAATTGAGCTATAATTATAATTGTTTTCAATTACCAACTATATGTATGTTTTGATAGGCCTGTACATACATTTATTATTACTAACATTATAGTAATAATCGTAATTATAGCAACGTGCAAAAAGAAATGTTTTTCTCAGTGCAGTTAGGTTTTCGTTGTTAATTGTGTGTAAACGCTTGCCAGAATTATATTCGCGAAGCGATACTATATTCTGTATAGATATATATCTACTATTGAGTTGTATGTATGTTTCCTTGCCTTTGAGCGCGTCTCTGTTTATATATATATATATATTTATATTATTTATCGATCATTCAGTTTATCGGGAATAAATTAATTCCGTTACTCTATGAATTTCCGCATGTTGACAAAAATTATGCTTGGAAACATCGGAAATGTCGCATCTTAATCTAATTTCGCTACGAGGCGAAAAATACCGAGTTGACCAGCTCTAATTAGCTGTTGCGCAGTGAAATTCATATATATATTATGAATAATTAATCTGCGTATCGTTCCGCCAGCAGAAAATGTCACTTTACACCACAAATATGTAGGATGAATTTTCGAGCCACTGATGAAACCGGTTCCGCTTTGTGAGATAATAAAGATTTTTCGCGCGACCTGTATTCGAAATTTCACGGTTACATAATTATTCTTTTATTTTCATAGCGTAGTATTATATAAAGCTTGTGTTACGGTATTTTTTAAATTATTTCTTTTTCAGTTAAATGCAATATTTATTGTTGATTAAAGCGTTCTCATTCGACTTGTTACAAATACGAGGTCATACATAAGTGTATTGCGATAATGAGAATTCAGCTTCATGTTTATTTACACACATTCCGACGAGACGTTCTCAAAGGCCATCATTTCGTGATTAAACGTAAAAATGAAACGAATACCGTGCTCCAATGTTATCTAAGCTTTTTAAGCGATCAGAGGAAAAAAAAAAGGAACCCCTTTCCGCGGAACTGTTTAAAAGAAAGAGAGAACGAGAACGAGCGATAGAGTGGGAGAAAGAGAGTGAAAGAGCGAGAAGTACGAGAGTGACGAAAAATTGTAATTTGAGTAAATGATGAAGTAAAATTGAGTGTGGAAGACGTGAGAGAGAGTGTGGGAAAAAGAGACAGCGTTAAGGGACGAAATACCTGCGGCTCTAACTCTAAATACTTATTACACTTGTTATGCTATCGATAAGTTTATATTATATCTCTATATCGTGACAGAATTTACGAGGTATTGTACGTGATATTATATTTATACGGGCTGTTACACACTCTATCTCCGAAACTTCCATTTCATCGCGCGGCCGAGCGAACGTGAGTAAGTACATGAAAAAGCGCAGGAGAGTAAAAAAAAAAGGGGGGAGAAAGAAAGGAAAAAAAAAGGCGGATATTCTCGAGAAAGCGAAGCATCCAACATGTCAGTTAATACACGTATATATATCCCTTTCTCTTCGGCGGGAGGTATCCATTAGTCCACGAGATTTCGGCGTCTGGAGCCGAATCTCTATTAAGAGAAATTGTCACTATGATGGGAAGTATAGAGAGACGACCGAGGGAAGCTTGATTCGAGAAAGACCAATATGGAAGAGGGGTCAGGACCTCGGGGCTAGTGGAGGCACGAAAACCTGGACCAACAGAGAATTTATCGCGAGCCCATCGTGGAACTTACGAACGATCGAGCCATGAATCCAGCCAGCTGACAGACGACAAAATGCCGGTGCTTCTTCGAGGTCGCCGGCGATGGGCCGAAGGTTGATTAACGGCGACAAGCGAGACGAGAATAGGTTCGACCTGTCCGACGAACGAGAAAGGGATTAAACGTGGAAAGTGGTAGTCCGCGCAGTTGGATTGCGAGAAAGAGAGAGAGAGAGAGAGAGATAGGAAATAGAGAATACATTTACATCGATGTAGTCAGCAGAGTTTGGGAGAAACTGCGATTCGAGGAACAATAGACGGGCGGAGAGGAAAATGCGACTGTGAGTGCGAAATGCGGACGAAGCAATCGCAGTCGGATGCGGGCGAAGGAAGTTCTGAATGTAAATCAAGCGGTCGGAAGAAAAGAGAGAAGATGAAGAAGTCGATTCTCCGCGATGGAGAAATCGCTCTTTCAAAATCACGCGCGAACGATAGCCTTCTCTCTTTCCTCCTCTCTGCGGCAAGCTGACGTGCAGGAAGGCAATTATTTGACGATGTTCCCTCGCGTCACCCGACGATTTCCTCTGCGCCCATCTTCTCATTCCGTTCCGTTCGTAATTTTTCTCTTAGGTCTATTGCGACAGAGCGATTTAAAGGCAGAGCATTGTGTATGCGTGCGCGCGCGGCCACGGAAATCAAAGCGAGAACTTCATCTCGCAGTTTTGTAATATCCAACGGCAGCCGAGCGGTTATTTGTCGCTTACAGCGCAGAAAATGAGAATTTCCCTCAAGATCGATCATCGCTCGTTTCATCCCGTTGTTCTTGCTCGTGTTGTCTTCCTCGCGCCATTCCGTGGTCGCGCGGCGTTTTTCTTTTCTTTATCCAAGACTGTAATTATGCGAAAATGAGAAAAAGGACCCTGCGCCACACATTGCGTTCGCGCGATCGGCATCGCGCGCCCTCCATTTCGTTTTTTGAACTGTTACCGAGCTTGTTTTTAATAAACTTGTTTTTTTGTTTGTTAGAACGGCAGCGGGCCGGGCGGCGAGTCCGGTGGACGAGCGAACGGGTGAGTATTATTTCCTAATTAAGTCTTTAATCCTATAATTACACTCTCATATCGCATCAATTTCTATTTGAAGCGTAGAGATTTTACATTTTCAGATTTTACATTCATCTCTGAAATATCACTTCTAAAATTTCTGAAATATCATTTTTAAAATTGTGGTCGTCATAGATATTTTAACGCATGTAGCAGCATTACAAACAAAAATATCAAATATATGGAAAAAAATAAATGTGTTTACATTGAGGGAAAAATGTATTAAATTAAAAAACTTTAAAATTTTAAAACAAATAATTGTTTGGATAGTATACCAATACTTGTTTACAAAAAATAAATATTTGCTGAATAAAAAATAATAATTAAATTCAATTAATGGTTCTTGTATCAAATAAATGTATGTTTATATTCAGTTGATATTCAACTAACATTACTCACAAACAAATATTTATTAAAATTCAGTACATTTTGCTGTCAGTGTACTTTCTCCTCCGATGCTTCGTGTTTTAATGAATCTAATATGAAGAATAAAAAAATAAATTTTATACGCAAAAAAATTGAAGAAATATCTATATCGATTTTTCTAACAGATGATTTAAGACATTTCAATCATTTTTATATCAAACAAGATGAAATCGGTAGTAAAATTTCTTTCAACTCACAGTTATACACATCAATATTTCCGATGAATTTCCGCTTTGAATCACACGAATTGAGATGTATTTCACAGTATATATATTATTACTCGACGTGCAAAACAATATTGAACCACGAAAGTGGCTCTTACATCTCGGGAAAACCCAGATGCTCGCTATATTTTATCGTGTCATTTCCTTAAAGATCTTTATAATATCGCGATGTTTACCCATATTCTGTAAGTTATATCCGTCCGATAGAACGAATATTGGTCGTATCATTTTAATAAATTGTGTAAAGAATGAAGTTTAATATTATAAAATTTATCGTTGAGATGTTATCGTTAAATAATTTTATGATTTATTCTAGTTTTCGTGCGTCTCATTGCAACGTTTCTAAACTTATGAATAACTCAGGAATCAAAAAGTGTCGACGAAAAATTCCAATTATAATTTTATTCTTACTATGATGCAGTGAAGAACAGGTTTATACTTGCGGAAACTTGGATTTTCTAAAAACTTTCTAACGAGCACGAAATTTCCATCGTGTTGCCAGTAGATTTTCAAACATTCTAAAGGGATCTCGACTAGAACTATAACTATCTTAAGCCTGCAGTTTGATTCAAAAGTTTAGTTTGTTTTCAATCCACATGAAATCGATCTTAAATTCTACGTGCAAACGCTTTATCGATGTGCTCATTTTTTTATATTTACACCGCTCAAACATTAGAATCTTTAATTGGTGTCTTTGAAGTTATTTTTAAAGTATTCATAATGTTCAAGTCAAGAAATTATAGTTGCAAAACGCGTCATAATAAGCACTAATAACACAATGATAAATATTAGTGATAACTATAAAAATACGTAAAACTTCATGATTAGCACAAGCTTGTTTGAACAAAAGCTAGACGCAATGATAATGCAGACTCGTGCTGATTCCGAAATCTTTTCTGTTCCAGACATCCAGGCGACAATCCCTTCTACAGCACCATCGACAGCATGCCGGACATTCGACCGCGCCGGAAGTCGATACCATTGGTTTCCGAGCTGGTAGGTAGCCGATTGCCCATTAACACCATTCCGCCATTGTCTCCGCGTATATATATATATACATATGTATAAGTACACCGTGTACACACATACATATATGTACATTGCCTGGACCGTGTCCATACATATATATTTGTCGGAAATAATTATACGATCCGACGAAACGTGTCTCGTTGTTGTCGCTATCGTTATTAATGTCGTCGTCATCGTCGTCGTTCTCTTCACTTATGACCTGTGACGTCGTCGAGATGTAACTGAAAAACGCGATCTCCGCTTCCGGGTAGAGCGGCATGAGTTCGAGCTCTTTCAATCTTCGTGGCGATTATGCGGCTGGTTGAATTTAATTAATTCACCCGACTAGCTCGAGGCCATCTCTTGATGCACGCGGCTATTTTAGAATTTTAACGCGAGGCCCCTTTGGTGCGCTTTGCAATTCTGTGTTCCGCGTTTGCACCGACAGACTGAAACAGAGCTGGAATTAATTACCGCGATATGTCCGACGTGTGCGCTGTTAGCGATACCTACGCGAGATACGTGAAAGCCCATTGAACGACAGAGTATAAATTATAATCGTAAAGGTTCTCTCCTATGTGGTACGCAGATACGTGAACATTTTTAGAAACTATTTCCACAATATAACGGAATATTTTTCATTTATAGTTTATGCAGGTCCCGTAAAGATCGTAATAATGCTTAAGAGGGGATTCCTAAGATAATTTGAAAAGATGAAAATTTTACCAAAATGTCGAGGCTAACAGTTTTTGATTATCATAAATATTTAAAGTTAGTTAATTATACCGTATCTAAAATTTGCATATTCAGATGTTGTACAATGCAAAATGCTAAAAGCGAAAGCTAATTATTGCTACTGCGTTAGTACAACACTCTAAAGTATATCAGTATGGGTTTAACGTTATGCAGTGTCTATATAATTCTCATGCGTTAGTGTTAATATTAACACATGATGTGGATTTATAATCTCTGATGTTCATGTCAACATCGTGATATTGATTTAAAATCCAAGGGGGTTAAATCCACACCATGTTGATGTTAATATTGATACGCTCAGAACTTGTATATATACAGATACCGCATGATATTAAATCCACACCAATATTTTTTAGAGTGCAAATGGAATTGTCGTGTAGAAACGCGGGTAAGGTATTACTGGCTAACGCAGTAAATCGTATCATGTGAGATGTAACCGATTTAAGTGTCGAAGCGAGCTGTAAAATATAAACCAATATTCGACATACCGATCAATCGGGTGGCACGTGCACTCGATTATGCTAATACGTTCAATAATACATATCCGACGACCACGAGCGGTATCGTTACTTTGCATTTAATTTATCTTGCCACGTTTTTAAAGAAAAAGCTGCAAAGGACTGTCCTCTCTCAACTTCTTTTATGAATATATTAGTGAACGCAGCAGGAAATTATAACTGAAAGTTATCTAGAGCTTAATTAGTTTGTCATCCAGCGAAAACGCAATAGCTACGTTTTCTCGATTACAAAACAGCTATCGCTTCTTGTTTTAACTTTATTTCCATCTCGCGAGATGACGACGACGACGACGTTCTAAAATACCTTCGTCGCGAGATCTAACTCTGTGTATCATGCACGACGTATCCGAGAATCTACCGTGGGACGAAAGCAAAGAGGATAAAACAAATCATGAATGGCATTTTCGTTTTCAAGACGAAGCGGAAGATCTTCAGATACGGCTCGTAACAAGCGTGTATCTCGTCGTGACCTAATTGCGTGTTTTACGTTTCAGTGTTACCGTCGTTTCCTGCGACGAATCGAATTGCTAATTTTTCTAAAAGCCATCGCAATGCTCCAACGAACAAATCTGACGAAATATTTCCTCTCAATGTAATTCCTCTTTTTCCCTGAAAATTCCAAATAAAAGAAATACTTTACATAGTCCTTTGATAATTACTCTACCTATTAATGTCCTAAATATATCCATGAATAAATGAATAAAATAAAATTCATTGATTCGTTAAATGTGAATAATACGACTGAGAGATTTCATTATTTCAACGAAATTTAATCGTGCCAATGACGATTATGTTCACAATTGGCAAGAGCGTTTCTGCTGCAAAATTTAAATTCACAATTCGCTGATGCGATTCGTACTCAAGCGGTGCCTTTATATCTTCGATCGGTCGAAAATACTAGAAAACTCGCGATTTGAAATTCGGATTTGTCGATATATTCGCGACCATTTATCTCGCTGGCTATACATAAACAACGTGCAGAATAAAGACAAGTAGTCGCAAACTTTCTTAAGTAAATCACATCCTCCGCGATTGCGTATTTTAATCAATAAATCGATAAAAATAGCCAATCGAGTTTTATTTACAAAAGAAAAAAAAGGAGTGTAAAACAATGACACTGAGTTGTTTATAAAGTGTAAAGATATTCTGCACACTGGTTTCATCTCGATTATATACACGATAATGACGCACGTGCTCGAAACGATAATAAAAATGTCTTGTCTACGTCATGGATGCCATTGTAAGCTAAAAGCTCGCGTGTGTGCAACTAGTGCGTGATGCTTTAAATGAAATTCTTAAGTAGTTTATCGATCGCGCTCCAGAGAAAAGCCTAGTGGGAATAAGTGTGTCGCGGAAAACGTGATTTAATTTAATAATACGAAAGTAAAACGGTAGTAGTAAAATGTAATTTTTATCAGAACAAAATAATGGAAAATTGAATTTTCTAATTAACCCAAAAATGTATTTAACGCGTCCCATTTTGAAAATTGTAGATTTGAGATCACTTAAGAACCTTAATTACATTTCCCAACGGATTTCATATTTAATTCAGTGTTAAAAAAGAATCGATTTATCTTTCCTTTTAAAAAATAGCATTGCACTCCAGTTCCAAGTATAGATATCCTTCGTCATCTTTAGATCCCGTAATCCGATGTCTGTCTCCCTGTATGTTTGTCTCCTTGTTTAATGTTAATATAATTGTTGTGCATATCTCATATAACCCTAGAATCCCAAAGACTCGCGACGTGAAATATATTTACATGTGGTATCGTCACATGGAAAAAATTGTCCAGGCAGTTCGTAAAAAGCGCAGAAAAGATTACTGGGTTATAACCGCGAAAATGCTTGCGTTATTCGTCGGAAAAATTGCAATAGCAGGGACGAACCACGCATCGCCTATTCAATGTCGAACTAACGAAATTGACTGATCACGTGTAAAACGCGATTATCGCCCAGTAATTTCGATCGTTTAAATTCACCACGGAGATATAAATTTCTAAAACGCAAATTATCAAAACCTAATCTTCAACAAAAGAGGATAGCTCTGTTTTTCATGTTTTTCTATCGCGTAATTATTTCTTCGTGATGAATCAGTCCTAATTAACGTCCGTTAATTAATCGTCTTTGTGCCTCTCTTGTGTCTAACTTTTAAAACATCTATATCTATATCGTAATTTAACTAAAACAAAATGCAAGTGACTACATGTACTAATCGGCATATAATGCTATTTTCTTTGTTTGTTCTCTGTGGCGCCCGTTGTTGTATCCACCTGAACACCTGAAAAAAACAAAACCACTCACTGAAAAAAACCTCTCAAAAAATCTCAAAAACTCTACCTCCAGGTCTTGAAGGTACTAATTAAATGCCTCCTTAGCCAAGTCAATAAAAGCTTGCTTGAACGTTTGCATGTGAATTTTTAATTCTCATTCTCACTGTCTATATGCTGTTATTTTTTTACTTTTTATTTACATCCTTTCGTTTGTTCTACGCGCAATTTACATTTCTCTCTTAGTTATTTGCTCTCGATTGGTTTATTTCTAATTCGTTGTATTTTTTTTCTGCTGATTACTTGCTATAAAGGGATGTGCATGCTTCCCTCGCTGCGAATCGTTGAAAGTTGCGCTCTTCTCGATGGAATAGAGTCAGCGGTGTAGAAACTTCTTGATTACATCTCTAATTTAATATGACTCTGTTACATGTGTATCTACTCGTTAGTAAATAGGTACCGTAATTTTGTTATCTGCGGAACATGCAATTTCTACCTCCGATGTATGAAATATCGAATGTGAGAAAATAATAAATCAAATCTCTAGCCACTCGTTAAATTGAACACGATTATAGTCGGAGAGACAAGAGATGTTTGCACTTCAACGAAACGCATTGTTATATGCTTTTTTGATGACTTATTCGTAACTTTGTGTTCCGCATGCGAATGTTTTTACAGTTATTTCGATTAGGAAGTGAATAAAAAATTATGCAAAAACGGATTTAACAATTCGAAAAAATTTTTCTAAAATAATTATCTATTTCGCGTGCGTTCAAACTTGATCAATGTGATCATCCAGTAGTTTCCAAGCTGTCGATAAAAACGATAGTCCCATCAGATTTTGTTCAACCTTGTAACGGTATAATGTCCCTCACCTGTATACGAAATCGTTCACTGTTCCAGCATCGATATTGCATGAACGTCTTGATAGTTGTTGATATAATAACATGTGTTAAGAGAAATTATAAAAATATTATACGAGTCTCGTAAGTAGATATTTTGATGAAAGAAAATTTTGAAGGCAATGTGTTTTATAGTGAAAGCTTTCTTCGATTCGCTAATACTATTTCCGTTTCTCTCATCTCACTCCTTCGCTTCTATCTCTTGACGAAAGGAAACGGGAAAAACGAAGCGAAGGAGATGACTTGATAACATCGTTAAGAAAAATGATATTGCGCGAGATTCTCACAAGAGACAGAATTAAATTGCCTTGGTGCCCCTCTTCCCGTGCTGCGTCGCAATATCCCTCGTCTGATCAGAGGACGCATTAGAAAAACAACGTCGCAACGGCATACGTGGGTTATAGCCGATAAAAGTGATATTAGCATGTACAGAGTAAGCGCTTGATCGTCAGGCTCAAACAATAGCGCATGCACGGTTCGCGGGGCTCCGTGTATAATATCTTAATTAAAATCTATGCTAACCACAAATTCTATTCGCGCACCATACTTACCAAAAATACCCATAAGCTAATTAGAATTAGATTTTCCTTCCGTAGAGATTCACCTTAAGCTCTATCTCTTTTTCACTCTTCGTCTCTCTCTCTCTTTTACTCTTCTCTATCATCGCGTTATTCCATCAACTGATTTACATATCTCCTGACGTTTCCGCTCCATTCGCTTCTTGGTTCTTTACTGTCTTCTCTTACTATCGTTCTCTTCGTTCTCTAATTTCAATATTAGATTCATATATATATGCGTTCCCAATCGCACATGCAAATCTACACCGCATTGAAACACAGTGCTCGGTCTTATTAAGCAGGGGTCCAGCCTTTGATTAGCCTCCAGTACAATTTCCGCCATGGTTTTCGACGAACGTATAATCCAGATAGCATATAATCCAGATCTTATTGAGTTGAATCTCACTGCCGGTCTTAATATTTGCAACCTTGTTTGTTAACCACTACATTAATTTTCTCTATGCACGCGACTATGCGCAAAGATAATCGGACAGATATTATATTAATCCGCAACGTTTGCACGAATAAATATCCTGCACCTGCTCCGACATTCATCATAAAATATGTTCAAACGGCGCGGTCGGTAAATATTCGTTGAATTTGGGAATTCTATTTCGAAAACGTGTATGTTGGATGTGATATGTAAAAATGTCAAAGTTCGCGATTACATAAAACTGTTGAGATTAAATATAGAATATAGAATAGCATTTTCTGTAACATTTTACGAAATATTTCTAACGAGCGTTCGATGTGTATATATATTATAAATAACTCACACTTATACTCGCTTCATAAAACTTGTAAATAAAAGTTTAACTTTGTCGATATTTCACTTGGCATGTAATATCACCGCTTATACATCACAAGATTTTTACGTTATAAGATTTCCCTTCGGCTTTCAATTTGTTTCTATCTCGCAAGTTTTTATTATATTACTACAACAGATGCAGTTTAATCTTGATGTGAAGTTGTTTCTTTGGAAATGTATATACTCACGTTTGATTGATTAATATTAAGAATTTCAAAATATATATATATATCTTATCACTTTTGAATAGTTCTTGTTATTTGAGAAGTCAGTGTCACTCACCTTTATTTTAACTCGTAAACAGTTTTGATCTCGATGTCGATAAATATCTGTAAATAACATTTTTCAAAGACTTCTCCGTATTTTCATATTCGTTTACATACGTTTCTTCACGTCTCTCGATTTATTTGATCAATTTTATGCTTTTCTTTGATTTTTTTTCTCGCTTTCCTCTTTCTCTATCTCTCTCTTTCTCTTTTTCTTTCTTCCTTACAGTTTCTCAGTCCCAGGACTATCATTTATTACTCGATAGAGAGACTGGAAGGTATCAGGTACTATTATTTCATTATCAGATGCACATTAATTCCTATCTTTTCTCAGACCATGGCAGCGACGAAGAGGAACGCTGGTCTCACATCCGCCGTACCTCGAGCGACGCTGAACGACGAGGAGCTGGTAAGGACTTACCCTTTAGTCATATATACTTCACCCTTACCACTTCATGTCACCAGTTAATAAACCAAGAGAAACATGCTTACCCTGTAAGAGGAGGGTTGGCTATCATCGCGTCGTCCCGCTGATGTTTAAATAATCTTTTTCCAACGACTAAGCTCTTTTTCATTGGCATTTTTTAAAGTTACCATTACGTGGACGATGCAATTTACTATATTAATTAGTGTTACATAAATCACACAGCGAAGCTTAATTACTTTCTTTCTACGTGATGTACTTCATTCGGAAACCCACGCGCAGTGAATGAAGGATGAGAGAAAAGTTTTAAAAGCGAAAGGACGTTTACTTTCTAATTGCAAGGCAGAGATAATATAGCAAGGAGTAATATCAGAAGAAATAGGGAAACGGATGTCAGAGAGAAATTAGATCGTACATCATTTAATTTTAAGTTTCAATTCCGGTAAGAGACCGGCGCCCAAAACTTAACTTAATCACTGGGTTTTCTTTTCTTTTCATACGAAACGTGCTGCATTTTATCCTCATTTCCACGCTATTTTCTTTCACGTAAGTGTGTTCTAGCCAGTTTCGGTTCTGGATCTCCTTATTTCTATTTACTCCTCTCCTTACACTGTATTATTTCGAAATAACACGTAGCGACCTAGTGTAAAACATATTAGCGGCTAGGATACCGTGATACGCATTACGTATGTACTAAAGAAATATATGCATATATATGCATTAGATGAGAAAATAGTGATCGAATCGTATATATATATATATATATATATATATATTAGGATGTTCATAGATGAGTCTACACAGTCTATATAAGGGTAGAATCACGACGGAGGATACCGTATCAGAGAGAAATAGCTATAGGCTAGTGCTAGGAGTTTCCGATTTCCGTGACGTTGGATGTTCCTCGTGTATCGAATACCTGGGTGTCCTTTCCAGATCGCTTTGACACACGTGCAATATTCGATAACGAGATATCGATGCCTTTCTCAGATATGTAATTTACTAAAGCACCTTGACAAACGTTACAAGTGTAATAAGTTAATACTGGTTGAAATTTGCATAATTTATTAGCCTTAGACGTAAGATTTAGGTACGCAGAGTGCTCTTGCTAACAACGCTAAAATATTCGACTGGAAAAATTCTTTCGACATTTCCGATCATCTGAAGAATATCGAGGTAATGTATTGAAAGGTAACTCAACCAGTCGCTTATATACATTCTTACGTTGGAATGAAGATATACGGATTTTAAAAAATTCATGCACCAAGGAACATCTCGAGTTCACACGTTAGTACCATAGTGCTTAGCGGATCGATGCTTTTACACCTTCGTCCTTTCGCTAGATAGTCTAAAGATATCGCCAGAAAAGTCTAAGGATATATATAGAAAATATCATTTGCTCTAAAACTTCTTCACGTACCACAAGTACTGCTTTTCAAGGAAAAAAAAATATTTTTTTTTTTAAACGAAAAACAAGGTAGAGCGCGAAAATTCTAGATGTCCAAAATGAAATGTGATGATCTCCTTAGGATCGAGGAGCTCGCGTACGCTCGTGAAGCTCTCATAGGTAATCCTATCTCACAAGCATGAAAAAAAGATATCCAGAAGAGAAAGAAAACTGATAGGAGAGATGTTCTCGAAAATCTAAAGCCGAAATAATGACGCAGTCATTTTGTTTTCGAAAGTCACGAGCAAGTAGGAACCTAAAACAGTTTTTAGCGTATCCAATTCGCTTTTATTGGAACCATAGCAGGCTTTCCTTTGTGAAACCTATGTCTGCGTATGGTTTGCGTGCACATGATTATGTAACTAGAATCCACAAAGGCACTTCAGTTAATAACTGAATCCATGATAGAGTTTTTGCGAGAAAGATCGGAATGGACAAAATCAAAATGCTAATCCTTCGGTATTCCGTTTATAATTTGAAAATTTTACATTGAAGGAAATATACTTTAGATAGATAAGAGTAACGCGAAGCACAAGTAATAAATTAAAAGAGTTGCTTTCTTAAAAGTTTATGTGATAAAGCTGTTTCATTTCTTCAATCAAAAATGGCCTCAATAATGTAATACCTGATACAATTTTATTACAATAGTTCGATCGATTGTTTATACGCGAGTAATAGAATATTTTATATTACGTTAATGGAAATTCATTTGTCACTTTATCATATGCTGTAAACGTTGGGAGTTCAAAATACATCTTTTCTATTTGCAATAAACAGAATGTTCGTAAAACAATATCTGAAATTTAATAAACCATGTAAATACGTTTCATATTTTACGTCGTTTATTAAATTTCAGTTTGAATGGAAAGAATGATTTTTCTAAAATATCTAAAAATTTAGCTAAATACAGATTTGAATACAATATTTTTTTTAATTTAAATAATTAAACTATTTTAATTAATATTAAAATAATTTTGTTGAATTAGCAAAACAATTATGTAGGTCACTTGAGCATAATGGGAAATGCTGCAAAGTTTTGGCATTCAATTAGCTCGTGCATCCTACATAATTATTTTGATGGTCTAACAAAATTATTTTCAGACCTATATCTACCTAACCTTTTAGCAAAGTAATTCTTTCCATATAATATTGAAAATTTTGACATATCAGAAGGCATCGACTACCAAAGGATTAGTAATTCACGATAATATCCAACGAACCGTTTAAACTCCTCAAAAGTCATAACTATTACGAGCGAAGAACTAAAGTAGAAAAATAAATGTTTGCATAAACCGCCCATCTGCAGTATCTTATCTTTCCCTCTTTCTTTCTTAATATAACGGCGATGCAATCGCATAATGAAACACCCACAGAAGATGCACGTGTACAAGAAAACTCTGCAAGCGATGATCTATCCCATATCATCAACCACTCCTCACAATTTTGTCACCTGGACGGCCACATCACCGACGTACTGCTACGAGTGCGAGGGTCTTCTCTGGGGCATCGCTCGACAAGGAGTGCGATGTATGGAGTGCGGTGTCAAGTGTCACGAAAAGTGCAAGGATCTTTTGAACGCCGATTGTTTGCAGAGTGAGTAACGTCAATCTATATTTCGATTTTCTCTCAAGCGCGATTTCCATAATATAAAATATATTTATCAAGGATCAATGTATTAATTTTATTTCGGTTAACTGATCACTGAAAAAGAATTTACTAAATTTTAATAAATTTGTTTGAATAGTACTAAATATTTACTGAATGTAAACCTGTAATATATTTATTTGGTACAAAAACTATTTATTTAAGTATCATTTTTTTTATTGATGAATATTTATTTGTTATAAGCAAACGTTTAATTGATATTACTTAAACAAATATTTATTACAATTTAGGAAATTTTTTTCAGTCACGTTATTAATTAACAGGTTTTAAATAAAATTTATAAATTATTTTTATATTTTAATGAATTTGAAGCTATTGTATAAATGTATGTCGGCCGCCCCGAGATCACATAACTTTTCCTTTTTCAAGCACGTAATTAAAAACCTTGAATTTATTTATTAACTGGGCAGTAATAAAATCAATTGTCCCTCTCGACGGGACAATAAGAATTAAATGAAATCGAGAAAAGTTTCGCAATTAAGCAAAGTGTAACTGATAATTCTGAACAGATATACATCTAAATTACTATTTTCTGTCTTTGCTTTCGCTACGGATTGAGTGTCTCGCTACACTTACGCGAATTAATTATTAATTTGCCCTACAAGACCTCCGTCCGTTGATTCTGCCAGTTATAGTGCTATTTCCATCGTCTGCCGATGTCTTGTCAATAAACGGATATTACTCTCGTATTCCATACAAAATCGATTTGTGACGGAATAATCGAAAGATTATTGATAAACGAGCGATTGTTAAATCGCGCAATTGAATTTCACACGGATTGAGTGTCTCGCGGAAAAATCAATTTTATGTAGGCGCAATACGTTCGCGAGGCCGCTTCGCATTTTGGCTTGATAAAAGTATCCGCAATGACGTGACAGATTTTATAAACCAATCTCCAATGTCCGGAAATCGGGAAGTAATGACACTTTTAACGTCGACCCGTCTATCAGACTTTCAATTTGATTCCGGTGATCTTCGCGTTCTCTATAGGTGTCCTTTTCGTCTGGATACTATTCGCTATCGATTCGTGCTAGCACTCCCAGACTAATGATTCCCAACCTCTTCCCCTCTGCTCTGACTCTGTCCTCGATAAAGTTTCTTTCCTTGATCGGACAGTCCACGATTAATTTACAGTCTCTCCGCCTCCGACTCGCCGCACGACAGTTTGCCTCGTAATTCCGTTCTCAATTAATTCTCCCTCATCCACCGCTATCCGTTGTAATTTCAATGTACCGGGTGTTTCGTGTTACGTTCCTTCCTATCGCTTATCTCCTTTCAGATTTCCCTTTCCTTCTCTATATCCCTATATGATTCTACAACAAGGATTTCCGGTAATAATTAAAATAGCCAATATCGATATAATTCAGGAAAGTTGTTTCGATGCATACCTTGATGTAAAATTCGAAACGTGTCTGACACCGCGTATTAGATTGCATACGAAATGTTTCGCTACCACGATATCGTTCTTGCATCTAACGTGTCTGATGTCCGATTATATATAATCAAAATTGACGCGTCTATTGTGTAACGCGCAGAATACATGATCATCTATCACGATCTATACGCGATATGCTATATTTTCCAATTTATATATTATTTTGTGAAACGCAATACCGTTATGCCGATGGTATTATTAGTATAGTATTTGGATGATACCAAAAAAGCTGGTATTACTTAATCACTGCCCATGATACGAATCATGATTTTCACGATGTAGAATTCTACCTCGGAAAAAAAATCGCGTATTTTTTTGTGAACGTTTTATCAGCTAATGCGATGAAAAACAGTGCGGTATCTGCACCGAGAATTGTGTAATAAATCTTCTTTGCGTGTAAAACACGCTTCTCTAATCTTTTTTTTCACTGGAGATAAAAGCGTTTTATCGACACCGTAGCGACATTGAGAAGATTGAGAATTAATGTGTGAATCAATCGAATTCGACCATAAATTTCAGTAATACATCTTTAATGATCCAACTAAATAACCATATATAAAATACTCGAATATATAGATCAAAGGGGCAACCACTAGCTGAAATATTGTCTCACAGATTATATGATTTCATCTGATTACAAATAATTTTTTTCACTACTATGAAGTAATGTGGTAAAATATACGATTTTATTTAATATTATACAATGATTTCTCGTGGTTGCATATATAATTATCGGATTATACATAGAGATTTTATATAAATTTTATAATGATTTCGAAGATTCTGTCCCACGATTACATCAAGTGATTACCCCCTCAATATAGATGCTTAATAATTAATTCCAAAATGTAATCTTGTTACGGACTCTCAGTATTCAAAAAACCAATGATGTTTGACAGGGCGAATGAAAGTACAGCGTGATAATTGGTACGCAAAGTAATCAAATAAAATTTCTTTTTACTCCTTTAATCCATATATCTGAAATACATTCAAAAATCAATAGAACGTTTCGACTTTCTTTGGAGTCCTCCTCAGCTAATACATAAATTAATAAAACTCCCCTGATTGTCCGATGTGAGTCACCATCAAATTCACAGATTTGATGTTGTAAAAATCTCAGCAATCAAAGAATACATCATAAGTTTTGGATCAAACATTAAAAAATTTTTAATAATTAGGTGTGATCTTAAATGTATATTAATGCTCCTGGCTATTCTTATATATAATATGCTGACAACATACTTGATAATATATTATTTCATATATTATTCCATCCATTTTATAGGGGCGGCTGAAAAGAGCTCAAAGCACGGCGCTGAGGATAAGGCGAATACCATAATCACGGCGATGAAGGAGAGAATGAAGCAAAGAGAACAAGAGAAACCGGAGATATTTGAACTTATTCGGTGAGTATCCGCTTACTGCGCGCTCGCTTCTTTTTCTTTTCTTCTTTTCCTCGCAGAGCAGAAGTAAATCCAACGACAACCGTACTGTAAATCAATAACAGTTCGGTTCGAGGAGAAATAGCGTCGATAGATGTATCGATGTGGTTTAACGATTTTTCGTCTGTCACTACTGCTCGCTATTTTTGGATCAGCAGATTCGCGGTCAGTCTCACTGGCGCTTTCGTTGCTCATTGTATAAAAATCTCATAAAGAAAATAATTCAATGTCGCCTGTGATTGCTGCAACGACGTACTTTTTCTTTTAACTGTGGATAAAAAGCCATGAATTAATTAATTGCCGTAACAACCCGTTTGAATCCCTTTTTCCATTCTACTCTCTGCTTTGCGGATTGTAAATGGTTCCGTGGATAAATCGCCACAGCGCGAGCCAGATCTATTGTATTTCACAAACTCAAACATAGGAAACCGTTAAAGGCCGTATAAACATCGTTTGGACGAATATTAATGCGTCACTACACACCCTCAGGAATAGCGTATTGTGTGAATGTTCGTGAGTAATGCCTTACAATAAACGCGGCAAACACGATTCGCGTTTCAGACTTTGAAGTTATCTTCGTGTTATCTTGGAGAATTTGTGTGATTTTACATCGCACTGGGTATTCCGTTACTGCAGACGTACCATCGATAGTCTTTCTATTCAAAACTTACAACAGATATATAATCGATAGTCTTTCTGTAAAACTGCCAAAAATAAAAAAAACACATTTTTAGATAATTTATAAATTTGTATATATTAGTAATTTGTACATTTGTTATATAAATTGAGAGACAGAAGTAAAAGTGGCGAAGAAAAATTAAGTAATACTATACAACGATTTTGTAGTGTAATAAGTCATTTCAGCATTCAGTTATAATAATTTCCGCAATATTATCGATTTAACGGGAAGGTAAAACCCGCTTCATTCAATAAATGTGTTATTGTTATGCAATCAAATAAGCTGTCAAAATTAAATAATCTCACAAATTAATATTGTCCAATCAATATAATCGGCACTGACATAAACTACAACGTGCATACATTAATATTATTCTAGTTCAAACTCTGAATTATATAATGCCTGGGAGATAGCGAAACAAAAATCTTTTGAGTGTTATTTGAAATTCGACTACAACTCGATAATATTGCTGATCGAATATTAAATATATTTATTTAAATAAATTCTGTTTTGTTGATGCGAAAATATAACGAGATCACACATCGAATAATTGTTTCCAGATACCAAAACCGACCTATTTGTGGTAAATGATAAATGGATAACACACACACGCGGCTTAGATACGTCAGCATCATTACAATAACCGTCTAATCGCATTTGCGCACCTTGCGTCAATCCGTCGCATATCTGCCATAATTAATTAAGCGTCGAGCTATTCGAGATATCTCCGTTACCCATGCTGCATTTCAATCTTATTACCGAGTATTGGCTTGTTATCGCGACGATTATAAATACCGACGGCGCGACATAGAGTACGGTTTCGTAAAAGCCTCGGTAGGCTAATGAAAATCAACGTTAATTAATATCGCTTGCGCGATCTGCATTTCAAGAGATCCATGTAAATGCCGATAAATCGGTCAATATTTGTACAATTATCAGTCATGTAATTAGCATATTATAGAACCTTTTTTAGATATGTAATCTCAAATTACATTTATATAATTTACAATTAACTGTGAAATAGCTGTTTTAGGAGATAATATCATGTTTCCGAATTATTTTTAACCAATTCAACGTAAACACGATGATAAATGTAGCAAACATTATAAACTTATTAATAAACGCGAATTAATCAATGCTCATTAATACTTACAGATATTTTTCTCGTTTCGGTCGAGCATTAGTAAACATTAGTAATTTAACTTATCACGATAATTAGCACGAGCGAAATTAGTGCGGAACAGCTGCAACGATCGTTATTACGTGCCAGGAAAAGCAGTAGGTCTGGTCGCTTCCGCAAGAAATACTGCAACGCAGAATGTTATGTCCGCAACGGTTATATCTATTACTGAAAATTAATTTAATATCCTAGGCGATAATAATTAGTTGTTAATTAAAACTGCTTGTACCTAGCGGCAATATATAGACTGGAATTAATCCATAATTAAATAAAACGCTTAGATCAATATGGCGATGCAGTGGCGACAGTGGTGAGCAAGGAAAATCATAAGGAGGAATTAACAAAATTTTCACCGTCACAGGCCCGATTTCGTCTTCTCTGAGGAATATAATCACGAACGAGCAATTCATCGTTCTCGTGCGAGTTGATCGATGAGCAGTCGTTTTAATTAGAAAACTGTTTTTGTTCGGCACGCGTATTAAAAATTTCCATTACCAAAACGCTCGATTACCGCTATTTTTCTTTTATTCGGAATAATTTATATTGGGAAAATTTAGCGAAAAACAGAGCCGTCTGAGCAAACTGCTGCAACTAATCCTACAAAGAGAATTCTCAAGCAGTCACGTAACGATTTGCTGCTGATAATAATCCTGTAACGTGTTCTGTTTCACGGAATGTGGACTAAATAAGCGTAAAAGCGAGCATAGTTTTTCAAACTAGAAAAGGATGACTACATTCATGTGCCGGTTGAAATTTCATTCGTGTTATCGCAAATATTTGTTTTTTTTTTTTAATTTTTTATTTAAATTCCTTTATTTAAATTCCTACAGACTGATAATAATATTTCGCGAAACGAAATAATCTTTCCTCGAGAATTCGCGGTAAAAAGAACTATTTTAGATGAAGTTAATCTCGAAACAATGATATATTTCACAACGAGAGAAATAGACGAGATCGTGGCCGTTGGCACAGCTTATGAAAGAGAGTCTCGTCGGAGTTTAGGTCAGTCTTCGGGGTCGACGAAAAGGCGCACTTGGGTCACATGATGGCGGTGGAGCAGTCGGTTTTGGACGGTACCAGCAAATGGTCGGCGAAGATCGCTATTACAGGTTTGTGGCCAGCTCGTGCTCGGCGATTCCTAAACTGGTCTTGTGCACTCTCCATATCCCACGCGACGAGCGTGTCATCAGTGTGGTGTTCGTCCCGATACATGATACATATGTGTGCTGCGTATGCCTATATATTTTGATCTGTGTATACAGTACGAGTCACCGTTATCTCCATATATTATGTCTATATATACATAATGCGTGTACGCACAAGATTACTTTGATTACTTCTTCTTCTTATTATTATTGTTATTATTATTGCCATTACACCTAGATCTGGTAATGGCATAATAATAACTAGCTCTTGGTGGCTGCCGCGCGTGTGGCTGTATTGTATTGATTGTGCCATGAATGTATACCGATATTGAGTAACAAATATCATTTTATGTAATCCCGGAAACCGTTCGACCATCGTGCGATAATATGGTTCATTTAAACGGAATTTAATCTCACGTTCGGACTACAAATTGCAATCTAAAACTTAGCTTTATCTGTAATTCATCCATTTTCTTTAACTTCTTCATAAGCTGAGTGTTATTTTATATCCAACAACTTTGTTACGAGCATAATCTCACAATGGACGAGCTATTTCCAATTCCCTCCTCAGAAACACCTTGACTTACATACCCTCGTAACTATTCCCACCCGACTAATGCAGATTACTGTATGTGTGCGCGTGTATGCCAGTATATGCTATGCTGCTGTTTTACATGTATGTGCTGGCGTTTTTATGATCTTACATTTGTCCGCTGGATGTGACAATACCGCGTGCTAACCGTTAGTGTACAACATTGTTTAATTGGACATTACTCGGTATTCGCCTCCTATCAGTGTTTTCCCATTTTTTTTTACCCCCAACGGGTACTTCCCTTCGCTCCAATTTCACGCCAATCCCAGCTGCCGCCGTAGCAACCAGTCTGCTTCAACGAGATCCATGAAATCGAGTTTGCAGACAGTTCTCTCCTCGTTCGCGCGCTCAATGCGCTATTTGCAATAGTCTCTTTTCCAGAGAACGAGTGGAGTTTCGTATTCCATCGGCGAAATGAAATCTCTCGCCGAGTCGGCCCGAGCGAATTTCTCCAGAAACAACACCCCAATTACCATCGTTTGGTGAAGTACTTATTTCCGGAAACCCCTTCAAACGCATCTTGAACCACCCGTTATTTCTCGTTAGTGAGAATCACCAGGTACACGTTTCTGATTCGAAATCCCATTCGTGCGTCACTCTGTTTATGCATCGATATGTTCTCGTTAGTGAGAATCACCAGGTACACGTTTCTGATTCGAAATCCCATTCGTGCGTCACTCTGCATCGATATTAGGATGTATGAGTTTCCGTAGTCCATGTACGTACTTATATGTACATACTCCCCGCGCAGCGCCGTCATGCGATCGCACTGGTCAGGTATCACGCAATGCTCCTCTCCTCCAAGAGAATTCAATCGAAAGTCCATTAAGGTCACGTGGCAACTTGTTGTGGCTGCAAGTATGTGCCGTTGCTATTGTCTAAAGCAAACTCAGCCCGCCTATAGCCATCGAGCTTCCATGATCGCGAGTCCCTGACCGATAGGCCAATACCACAGCGATGTCTATCGAAAGCAATCTACCGACCACCTGTAATCTTCGGTATATCCAGGGCATGTTCTCTTTCCAGTTGCGTTTCGCTGCGAGATGAGAGTCAGACGTCACGAGCATCGATCATCGCTTCGATCGCACGTGTCAGCTTAGCTCCTCGTTCGAACCTGCAACAGAAATAGGTCTCGCGTGTCGAAGATAAGGAAAATGAACCCGTCTCGATAGATGTCGGATTAGCTCGATAGTTTCCGTTTAATGCAATTTATTACAAAAACATTCGTGTTGAAGGGTAGATAAATGTTTTTTTTTTCGTCTTTTACCTCTTTTACGTTTTATCACGAGAAATAAATTTTATTATGAAATTTATGGACGATAAAGTTCGTTAATCATGCAGGGGGGGGGGGGGGTCATAAGACAATATATCGCGTAAAATACTTATCTTTGTTTGAAAGTAACTTTATAAAGTTACATCCCTATTGAAGAAATACTTAAGTTAGTCCGCATCGTTTATTCACTTCTCGTAAACAAACTGTAACGACACGTGTAGCGCGTATCGATTTCTCTCCCACGGATTATTTCCATACGAGATGTGTCGCTGGAAAACACGTGCGGAAAAAATACGTGAGTCGAAGAAAATGTACCATGACCGAAATATTTCACGCGCACATTCCATATTCTTTGTACTCGTCGTCTTCATTTCGCGCGATGACGCGTCTCCAGGACCATTGTGGTTCCAGTTCAAAAGAAAGATGAAACTTTTCTTCTCCGAATCGTTGTCTTGTCATGTCGGCAGGGATGGTTACATGAAAATGTAAAGCATACAGTTCTTACAATACTTGGCTCGAGGCACTACCGTGTCTCTTGATATATATTTAGTATTTTTTACCGAGAATAATTCAACAACGTTGATCGATGGTCATAACTTAAAATTTCGGTTCATCGTTCTTTCTTCCTTTCGGTAAAACATTTGCTCTCAAGAAAATTATGTTATCTCAGGCTTCTCTAAATTATTTATAAAATACGACTGCAGACTCCAATTTTTATAATTAAAAAAAAATCTTTAACTCGATGTACGTATTAAACTTTCGATCATGAATAACGGATACCTATAATTCTTGCTTGATGAAGAAAAGAAAAATTAGATTTTCCTGAGTTAATAGACAAGTGAAAACTTAATCAAGTAATCGATCGCTTAAAAAGCTGTTCCTATCGTTGATCGTCTTCGTAAAACGATTATCATAACTGAGAGATCAATGGAAGTCTCGTGTTGGCGATGGGCCATGCAAGTCGAGCAACAAGTTTTCTTATTCCAGGCTGATGGACGTGCCTTTACAGAACAGCTTCCTGCATAAAACAGCGCTAATTTTACAACGATTCGAGATTAACAGGTGGCAATGCGCTTGGTACAGCAAGGCGCGTGTGATCGATTGGTCTTCTTGTACATACTTCTGTGCATTTGATATGAAACTTTGATGGAACTTCGTACGGCATTCAGCCGAATGAAAAGCGTCGTGTTGACTCTCGTTCTCTACGACTTCGAAGTCATTTATTGTTTCGCCACACCTACACTGAAAGAAAAGATTGGTTGCTGCACTAAATTAGATGGTTAAATATGGCATAGTATTTTTAATTGGTTGCAACAGCCAATTTTTGATTGCTACAGCCAATTGTTAGTTGTGTTAGCTTATCCGCAATGTCTAGAATTTCGATTGGCTAACGCAACCAAAAATTGGTTGCTACAGCCAATTAAAAATGCTATGCTATATTTAACCATTTAATTTGCTGCAGCAACCAATCTTTTCTTTCAGTTTAGGCGAATCAATCTCATCGTTCCTTTTTTATGCAGATAAAATCAATCGCGTTGCTTCCAGTCGAGTTATAATTCGAGATTCAAGTAGGACCCGTCTTTCCGATTGATATCCACCATCCATATTCATCCGTTAAATTCCGTATTCTCACCTCGAGCAAAATTGGCAAAGGGCATACAGAGAACCCACAGGGGTAAAAACTTTGACCAGCGAACAGAGCTAATCCATCTTGTATTGAGGCGCGGATCTGAAACACACGTCTCGCTTTGCTTTCACATGAGACACAGATACAAAGGTGCCGAGATACACACAGGCTAATCCCGGAAAAATACTCTGGCTGCGCGAATGTAATTTTGCTAGCATAGCTGAGCTGCTGAATACACTGCCATCGCTGCTGCTGGATAATGTTGGATGATTTCGGACGATTTTCCGCCTCGCGATGATCCCGCAATGATGGTCCTTCGGTAGCCTCCGTAAGACGTACACTTCCTTGGTCGTTTTGAAGCTGCTGTCTCGAGAGGATCCTCTTCCTCGAGGATCTCTAAAAGAGTGTGGATTGACAATTGAGAGGAGAAGGGTACGAGAGGTTGTCAAAGGACTAACCGATGACGACGACATTGTCTTCTTTTCAGCACGACGTTTTCAGTCGACCCGGATACGCACATAGACAGCCTCGAGCAGGCCGAACAGATCGTCCTTGAGGGTACCAGCAAGTGGTCCTGCAAGATCGCCATCACAGGTGACACGATACTGATACCTTTAGAAACCTTTTTAACGAACCTTCACCACAATCTCGATAATGAACCACACCAATCAGTTCTGTAACCACGTACATACACACGCTTGAAATACAAGCTACACGAAAACTTGTTAAAATTCTCTACAGAATGCGCGGCTACAAAGATCACTCTATTTATACTTTTCGTCGTAATATTCTATCTTCTCTCAATCACTCTTCTCCGAATCACGAGAGCAAAGTTTCAAAATCACTGTGATACAGGGGCGCGTCACAACCGCGCAATTTCTGTCGCTTACAGATTCTCTGATGAGTTTGGAACTTTGCCTTGCGCGAAAGCAGAGAGGCTACGAATTCATCCGACAATCAGTAATCAAGAACAGAAGTTCTGCGCGCGCGCGCGCGCCTTTCTCAATAAGCACAGATCTTTCTTTCTCTCATACACAAATCTCGATTTTTCAATCATCACCGTATTCCCGCGCGCACCGCTCGCGATTCAAAGCGAAAACACGAAAAGATCTACATCACAGAGCGCCATCAGGTTAATAAGCAACGGCGCGTGATATACGAGGTACACTTTGCGTTGTGCCGCGTACTCCGCAGTCGGGTTCTCGCATTCCAATTGCACCACCGGGGCATGCATATTCCGCGATCGATGCACTTCGTCCGGCACGAAGTCGAACCCCGCGAGGATCGATCGAGCGACGTACCTGAATCTCCCGACGTTGCTGGTTCATTCTTGCGTGAAGTTCCGAAATATATTAAAGTTGGACGCGCTATATATTGCTATTCTTGTCTTGCATTCCGGTTGTTACAATGAAAACTAAAGCAATTTATAAAGTTTCGCTGGGTCGACGGAAAAGGGTTGCGACGTCGTCGTACCGACGAAGGGATTTCATGTAATCCAGATATCTGCGAGCTACCGGGAATGTCGATGGTCGCAGGGAAACGTGTCGAATCATTCGGTGAATTATGCCATTTACGCGCCGGGCGAGAATAGCCAAAACCCTCCCAACCATGCAGTGTCGTTTCTCGTTTATAGCGACGACTTTTTTTATTTTTCACCATTTTTATCGCGATTCTGCCGGCGCTGCTATAACATCGGATGCCAATAAAAATGATAAGCGCGTGGGCCGTATAACTTTACACGGCATTACAGGCAGCGTATGTCATAGAAAATTACAGTTCGCCGATCGAAATTGCAATCGTAGTACTCCACGGCCGCGAACGATGTGGCAGACGGGAGCGGTGCAAGCTGCATACGTATGCGCTTCTCCTCGGCGAAGATCGATAGTTCAACGTACAGACAAGCGTAATAGCTACGCTCAGCCTCCGCAGTCCATTCACGTCATGTATATGACTAGATACATTTCTTATCGTCTACGAAATTGCATAAAAGAACACAATTGAACGAGCGTGTCTCCATTAATCAGGAGGGCTCTACGGAATTCTCGTCGGCATAACGTACATGTAGCTTTGTCGTGAAAATTTTACCAATTTGATTCGCAGCACGTTTCCGTGATATATATTTTAAGTACGCGAAATATAATGCAGGAAGCAAGAGAAAGAATGCTCAACGTATTCCCCGATCGATGCTGGATCGTAGCCAATAGTGAGAAACAGTTGAAATGTGGTCGGGGACGTTGGAGGTACGTTGGGAACGCGCCGAAAACGCGAGAAGCCAAGAGAAACTCGTCGGAGGAAAATCCATTGGGATTCGATTTGCTTTCTTTCATCGCTCCTAAGGCTACCGCCGATAGTGAAATCCGCAAATGGAAGAGACGACTCGAGGTGCGCCTGCAGCACCAGCAGCGCTCCCGCTGCAGGGATTCGCATTTCGCGCACCCGTGTAAGGAGAATCTTCCACGCGGAGAAATTTCCCTGGCAAGTCTCGGTCGTCTTAAATAACCGAAGCTCACCGGGGGTTCCCGAAGGAGGCCTTAACGTTTCGCTTGAGCGCGCTCAAGGATCGTTTCATATTTCTTATCATCGCTCGTATATGTTTAACACCTCAATAATGGAACGATAACAAGCCGTGTAACGCATCGTTCTACCCTCCATTAATCGAAGCTGTGTAAAAAGCCCTAATTATAGGGTACCGTAGACGAGGAACGCACGATGAATTTTAAATGACGTGAAATTTTATGTAAAAACTACACTTTGTGCACTTAACGTAATGCAAGAGACGGAAGAACACTAAGAAGGTACTTTATTATTTACGATCAACTGGAAAGATAAAGGAGGTTGAACAGCATTTGCGCTACGGAACGTGCTCCGACGAGGAAAAGTCGATAAGCAGAGAATACGGCGAGCTGCAACACAAAACTTTTTTGCCTTTCAAAAAGCTGCCGACGTATCCAACCAGCGCGCTTTCCTAGTTCGCCGCTAACAGCGGAAGTAGCGAAGGAAAAAGCGAGATGGTATGAAAAAGGGAGGGGGTCACTGTTGAAAAAAGGGAGATAAGTAAATGGGACACAGTATAAAAAAAAAAAGAAGAGGAAAGAATCAAATCGGCGGAATGGTTTGTTTTAGACAGCGCGTCTCCTTCATCCTAACCCTTTTTATTTCCTCCGTCATGAGCGTTTCTTTCCTCGTGTGTTTATATACTCCCGGCGCGGAAAACGAGTTCGGATAATCAAAAAAAGGAGCAGAAGAAAATTGAGACAATTTCTGAACGTTATTTCTGAGAAACTACCGACCGCAGTTGTCAACCACGTGCCGACTGGTTGGTTCGTTGGCTGACCGTTTCTGCTCTGTTTGTGACTTTCATCTTGATAAAGAATTACATCGAGGAAAAAGAAGCAATACCGACCTATATATAAATAAAACCTACATATAAACCTTAGTGAGTGGATTCAAGCGATAATTTTAACTATCGCGAAATAGGGTAACTTTGACCTAAAATCGGAATAACTTTGGTTCACATTATAAAAGTTACCCCATTTTATGGTACTGATGTGAATAACCCAGACAACACACAATGTCTAGAAAATTTATATTGAATTACAATTTGAAATAAACCTATGAGAATAAATCTATAATGTTTTTTACATGTCCCAAAAGACGTCTTTATAATGTCTTCATAACATCTTTTAAACGTGCATGTTGTCTGGGTAAGAATCATAATTTTCTTTCTAAAATCATTCGAAGCAGAATCGAGCTATTTAATATTTCTTTGCGTAATAAATCCCGATCATAATTCTTTAACTTTCTCTATATTTAATAGAATATTAAGAATATTTGATCCTGTACCCTCAGTGTGGATTAACCGCCATGGGATAAGGGAGGAGATTCACGGAAATAAGGGGTCAAATGGGAGTGCGAACTGGCGAAAGAGGTGGAAGGAGGGTGGTAACAGTCGGCGCTTCTTCTTCTGCCCCAGTAATCAAATCTCTTGACTCACTGAGCTCAAATTAAAATGACTACGATCTGACGAGATATCACTGCAGATTGCGCCTCGAGCGTCGGATAGAGACGGAAAAACGATAGTATTATTTCTGTGGAATTCCTTTGTCAGAGAAATAATAAAAAGAAACAAAGCATAGTAGATCTAAAGCTCTAGATATACCAAAGTAGCGCAAAGGTCCTCTATTTTGGAACTACTAACCATATAATATTAAGCGCTTATTGGACTACAAGCCATTAGGTCCAAATAACGGTCGAAATAGCCAAAAGAGGAAACTTGTCGGCATTTCGGCTCGGATAAAAGGATTACGCTACTTTATGGTATATTTAGAGCTTTAAGTATATCCAGTGCGACGCCGCAGTGTGTGCATCGCCGCAGTGTGATCAATTAAAAATGAATGCAGCTTGCGACTGCAAGCCTGACGCGTTAAATTAGCGTGCTCGAGTGTGTTCGATCGCAAGATTGGAGTGCGCGGCTTAACACGTGGAATCAATATGCGCTGATAACGATCAACCTCGTAACGCACACGCAAACAACAAATTATACGTTCGATATCGATGATAATTGCGATATTTACGTTGCATCGGTCAATCGTTGCGACGGTCGGTCTGACGTTGACTTTCGAAATCACGCGCGAACGCGATGTGTCAACGAGGCATGTTTCATATTCCGGCTACTTGGCATTTAGAACCTAAATTCGCGATATGTGTCGAGCTCAATTATAAACCGATCACGTAGAATGCGATGTGACTGTATAAAACATGCGCAACGTATTCACTTCGACGACATGTATATCGGTTCGTTTAATTTTTTGACATTTCATGGATTTGCTTTATTCGTAATGAATTTATTCGCGATGAAGCGCTCAATTTCAATCTCGGTATCCTCTGCCGAGCATTGTGTGCCCGCGGTACCTCTTTCAATTTTACATGCCTCGCGCATAAGCTCGAATAAAGCACATAAATCAGTACCTGCTACAAATACGCACGAATCCGACTCAATCGTTATCGACGATAATATTCTTGCATTGGATTAATTATCAGATTAATGAAGCGGAACGCTCATTTATATTCAGATGAAGAGTACAGACGCGCTGTGCGATGTAGAATCCAATCTGCTGCGCAAAATTACACACGCACATACATACATGTACACACACACACACACCACACAGCCACAGACACAGACGTGCCTGTACGCGCCGAGACTCTTGACATCTCTCTCACGAAGTGGATTGTGGCGATGACTTGATGATTAATGAGATTAGGTATGAAATCGACATTCATCGAAGGCAGGAAGCATCGACGATCGTCCCCCACTGCAATCGACGATGCGAATCAGAAAGAGTTAGTAGCATGGGGCATGTGTGTCTGTCCGTCGATCCAAAACCGAAGCTTTGATATATGATATCACACACGCACACCCACGCACAAGTATATACATATGTATTTACACGTTTTTAAATATTTCCTTTGTGTGCCAACGTATATGTTATGTGTATTGTGTACGTATACGTATATATCTATATATATCTCTCCATATACGTGCGTTATTACGAGTATATGATATATGTACCTGATCCAAGCCAGGCTTCTGCACGCTTTTACGATGGCTGCCTCTACAATGGATATCAAGTGTCCAAATCGGATGGATGTTCAGCCTTTGCATGCATCTTCTCACACACAACGTATATCTATGATTATATGTGTTAACTATAATGATTGGGGGCGAAAGGAAGATAGTCCACGTCCTTTTACTTATCTACTTTATTATAATTTCTTATTCGTTTGTGAACTTATAGCTGTCGTGTTTAAAAATTGAAATTCTCGCTACAAGTCCCTTTCACCCTCCGGGAATAAAGTCGATTGTTTTAAATTTGAAAAGTTTTGCAAAAAGTACCGAGCGATTTAATAATAGAGAAGATACAATGGGAAAGCATCAGCCCTCTTCTCAATTCCTGCAATATTTCGAGATAAAAGCCCTGCGGGACTCACTACCTGTTTCCAAACTACCTGTTTTTAATTAAATTCTCACATAAAACTGAGTCATATTTATTCATCCCATCGACGTGCACGTGCGAATAGATGAATACGTAATGTTCGCAAAAAGATTTTCGTCCAAATATTCTGTCTATTAACCGCAAGCGCTAAAGGAATCAATTTGACGAAAGATCGAAACAATTCGTAAATTCGTGTATCGTCGTGTTCGTGCAGGAAAAAACGAGTTTCTATTTCTTTTTAGAATAATGGGCTTTTTACAATAAGCTATTATCTAAGTTTTAACTTTTAAATCAGAAGACATTAACCAATCACAGTCGATGTATAATCGATTATGTTTGGTTAATTTCTTATAGCTTGAGACTTACAGCTTAGGTAACGACTTATTGTACACTGAGAGAAAAGAATAATTTTGGCAACTACAAATTAACAACTCTAAAATTTAAGTACGTGCAGCTAGTTTTACAAAATTATAAGAACTAAAGTAGTACCGAATACTATAAAAATATAAAAACTAATGTACTTAAATTTTACAGTTGTTAATTTATAGTTGCCAAAACTATTTTTTTTCTCGGTGGAGAAACCCTATAAGAATTGGTGATTAAAATAAATTAACAATTTAAAATATGATCTTTACATTGCTTTTCTTATCGGTCACTGTCAAAATAGAATAGCTTGTCTACCAATGACACGACGTGGATTGTACGAATCACAAGTAATAAACGTGAAAGCGCGTTGGAACGTAAATGCGGGCTAACATCAAGGTAGGATGTGTATAAAATACGCATATACCGCCAAATCAAAATCGGGACGGAGTAGTAAAATTTTTATCGCTTCGGAGAGCGTGGTGATGAACATATGGCCTCGGTTTCGAGACTCGTAACCACACATTTGTGGCCGATCGTCCGGCTACTCTGTCAGCTCGAACGATACGGTTTTATCGAATGATACGACGGACCCGCAGGATGGATTGTAATCCCAGCTGATTTGTCGGTAAGGCGGGGCTATTAAAGTCAGCCTTCTCGGTACGGACTTTCTCGACTTTCCTGCATTGAGTCGCGAATTCGAGATCTCACGCCGCGCTTTTATTACCCACTTACTTTATTCGTGATTGCACGTGGAAAAAATTTTTATTCGTCGGACGCAAGAATTGTTCGATGCGAACACCATTTCGTCGTGACGCATTCGTTGCGATTAAAAGTGGAATACGGGCTCACGAAGTGGAATCACGGCGATTTTTTTTTTTCTTTCATCGGCGCGGTGCGAACATATGTTTCGACGGATATCCGGTTCTGTTAGCTTTATTGGATTAGTCCTCGCATTCACGTTCTTGGATACTGGCCAGCTGGCAAACTCCGGTAATGTTTTCATTCGACGGTATTGTCCTGTAGTAATCGAATTATGTACACCACAAGATTAGGAATTTACTCTCTCGGGAATTAAATCTTTCGCGCGCTCAGTCCATCCCGTCGCGAGATCTAGGCATTTCAGCCCTGATGAATAGTTTTCTAATTCTATTCTTCTCCCGTTTCTAGTGATCAGCGCTCAGGGATTAATCGCCAAAGATAAGAGCGGCACATCCGATCCATACGTGACGGTCCAAGTTGGTAAAGTAAAGAAACGCACGAGGACCATGCCGCGAGAATTGAATCCAGTATGGCACGAAAAGTTCTATTTGTAAGTAATTTTGACAAGTTTCTCTGCTACGCCAGCGGAATACGTAATTCTCTCCGATTTCAATTTTGACTATGAATTCTCCGCCCTTTTCACGAGCGATGACGTCAATTGTTGCGTTTACTCACACACGTTTACGTTCATATGTTATATGTTTACTTATCCACATGCATGGAAAAAAAAGTAATATTTGCTACAATTTTAGTAAATTGGAAGGTTCGTATAGGGGCAAACATCCATTTTAAAAAGTAAAATTTACTTTTTTGTATAGATGGAAATCGTTACTGTCTATCCAAGCAGAACAAATCATGATAACGTCAAAATGACATTAAAATGAATCGGATGTGATTGAAAAATAACTTTTAATGATCATTCTGGAGTCATTTTGGCATCATTTTGATATTATAATGACTTGTTGTTCTGCTTGGATACTAATTTGGCAAAGCTGCAGTTTTTTTTATGACGGTAACGATTACTAATTAAAAGCTGAGATTGACAGAAAGTTATTTTTGAAAAATAAATCAAATTGTTATTACAGAAAATAACCATAAAAGTAATGGCGCTACTTCCATCCCTACTTTTCAGCTAAATAAACGATCATTGTATAACCACACTATAAGATACTTTTGCATTTCGTAAAATAAATCTATAAATTATCATACATCTCAATAGAATTTACTTCACCAATGGATGTTTTTTGCCTTAGCGCTGATAAAATTTACTTTACTGTTCGGTAAAAAATACAAGTGTATAAAGTATTGAGAGTTGTTTGCCCTTACAGTCTTGAGAATAGTATGATTTATTTTCTGTAAAAAGAATAAACACTTGAATTATTATAATCGTAATGTAATTTTTATTTTACATCTTCGGTAATTTTACTTTCAGCAACTAAAGTTTTTCATAATTCGACAAAAATAACCAGAATATTTTTACTAGTCTTATAAGATAAAATCATTTCTTTCCGTGCATTGTTCACAGACATTTAATTTTAATATTACGCGCGTATATTTTTATCGACGAATTATTGATCGTTTAAAAGCGATAAAAGAAATTCAATTTAGTTTCAAGACGGATGTGATTTAAAGCATTACGATGGATGTCGTAAAAACCACAAACTCCTGTTCGTAGTGAGTGCCACAATTCGTCCGATCGAATCAAAGTTCGAGTGTGGGACGAGGACAACGACCTGAAGTCAAAGCTAAGGCAAAAACTGACGAGGGAGAGCGATGACTTTCTTGGGCAGACCATCATCGAGGTCCGAACTCTCAGCGGCGAGATGGACGTCTGGTACAACCTGGAGAAGAGGACGGACAAGAGCGCAGTGTCGGGCGCTATTCGGCTGCATATCAGTGTCGAGATCAAGGGCGAGGAGAAAGTGGCACCTTACCACGTGCAGTACACCTGTCTGCACGAAAATCTCTTCCACAGTTTGTGCGAGGAGAACGGCGGCATGGTCAGCTTGCCTCAGGCGAAGGGCGATGACGCCTGGAAGGTCTATTTCGATCCTCCTGGCGAAGAGCTCGTCGACGAATTCGCCATGCGTTACGGCATCGAAGGCATCTACCAGGCGATGACGTGAGTGTCGAAGTCACGCATTCGTAATTAATCATTAATCCAAGTCGTTATCTAAAAGCTATCGATTTTGTCATTACAGAGTAATTTAGTCTCGTTATTGAATCAAATAGAAATTAACCTTTTGTAGACGGGCGTGCTCGTTTAAACACATCTCTTTTTATTTTTTAAATTGTTAGCTCGGTTTTTATGAAACTTGGTTTATGGAATAATTTTTAATAATGCTTTATTTGATTCTTCGAAATGAAAAATAAAAAATTCAAAATGGTGGATCCAATATAATAGATAACATTTGTAAAAATTTAGTTATCATAAAACTAGCTTTTCAGAGAATTTTTATTGTAAAGTAACAACATCAAGTTTCTAGTTTTATTTTATTTGAAACTCATCAGTGCTACGCAAACAGTTAGTACTGATTTTCAAACTAACTTTCAAACTCTGATTATATGAGCCCTGTGCCATTAGAACCTCCTTCAATGGAGGTTACTACCCTTTTGAACTCTAACATTTCTACAGGCTGCATTCAAACTCTGCGATATGAGGAACTCTTAAAACCGAATTTCACTATAATCAGATTTTTTGAAATTAAAATTTTAAATTTTAAAATTCACAGGATAGAATCGAATTCAGCTACCCCGAAAACTCTTAGAAAATAAAATTCCTTTAAAGACTTTTTGCTAGAAAGCTCTCGTTCTCAAAGGGTTAAATGAAAATTTACTCAATAAAAATCACGTATAACGTATTTGAGATTAAATTAAGACGGTATAACTCTGAGATAACAGAAAGAATCAAAATGAATAGTTTTTCGATACGATTTCGTGATTTCGTATTTTCCAGGCACTTCCACTGCCTCTCAACCAAGTACCTGTGTCCAGGCGTGCCGGCCGTTATGTCGACTGTCCTGGCGAACATAAACGCGTACTACGCCCACACATCCGCCAGTCCGGCCGTGTCGGCCAGTGATAGATTCTCCGCCAGTAACTTCGGGGTAAGTGCCGGATGTTGAAGATTGCGCCGTGGTATCTCCACCTCCAGCGTAGAAGAGTAAGGGATGGCGAATGCTGGAACCCGGCGGCGAGAGAAGCGAGAGAAATACTCGTGCAATTTCCTGTCAGCTAGCGCTATACGTTATCCCGAGCTACTTCTCATATCCTTGATGGTCGCGCATTGACTTGCACAAGGACGCACTTTTCGACCCGACCCTCTCTATCAATTCCGTTCTCACCAGGTCACCAAGAATAAAGGGATCAGTTGACGCGAATATATATAGCGTTGGTTAAATAATTACTTTGTAAACTTTTGAGAGGGATTAAGCCAATTCTCTGCCGAAGCGCTTTGAATAAAGCTTAAATCTTGGTAAATCGGTCATTTAGTGGATTAAAACGGATTTCTTCCAAGAATCAGTAACTTAACTTTTCTTCTGTTGATTGCAAAAGACTGTAAAGTCTAACAATAAAATGAGAAATGCTTGCATTTAATCCAAAAACCTCTTAAGTCACGAATCTATGCCTGCGTTAAAGAATGACAAGGTTACATCGTGTTTATGATGGCATTTTTTATTACCCCTTTAGCATACTTTTTGAAAGAAAGACAAAAACTAGTAAAAAGATCCTGTGCACGCTACTTAATTAAGATTTTAATTAAGATTCTCATCAACTACGTTCTTTTTTAACCATCTGTAGTTTAACCGACAAGGCCGAGCAAATGAATTTTCCTGCCGTACGGAGAATATGGAAATTCTTTTCGCATACCTCCACACGAATTGACGTTCTCGCCAGTTTCCATAAAACAGTGAACGATATGTGAACCGAAATTTTGCTCGAAATTTAAATTCGTAAATCTCTTAATTCCGGAAGAGAATTGATGTATATGAGAAAGTATGTTTCTTACATTCTTGAATTATTCATGATGGTTCCTCTTTGAAAATATTACGCCAAACTTTCTGAGCAGAAAGAAATTCGGTACGGTTAAAAATCTTCAGAAACTAAAAGAGAAAAAAATTCGACGAAAAAGTTCCTTAGTGAAATATACATATATTATGTATCGATCAAAAATTCTCGCAGTAAGATAAAAAAAATCGACGTATTTATCGATTTCAAAAAAGAAATCTTAGACAGGGAAAGAAGCTATTATTACTGCATATCATTGATAAAAGAAACTAAAATAAATGATTCTCATTGTAGAAAGAAAAATTCGTCAAACTACTGGATCAGCTGCACAACTCCCTCAGGATCGACCTATCAATGTACAGGAACAATTTTCCGGCTTCGAGCCAGGAGAAGCTGATGGATCTGAAGAGCACCGTGGACCTGCTGACAAGCATTACGTTCTTCCGCATGAAAGTTCAGGAACTGTCAAGCCCGCCACGAGCCAGTACCGTCGTGAAGGATTGCGTGAAGGCATGCCTGCGATCGACCTATCAGTTCCTCTTCGAGAACTGTTTCGAGATGTACAATCGAGAGTTCCAAGTGGATCCGATCGAAGCCGCGCGAGACATGGACGATCATGGGCCGCGATTGGATTCGCTCAAATTCTGGCACAAGCTAATCTCCCTGATAGTCATGGTGAACGACGAGGACAAGAACAGCTATGCACCCGTGTTAAATCAATTCCCTCAGGAGCTCAACATCGGTCAACTGTCGTGTGCCACGACGTGGTCCTTGTTCGCGGTGGACATGAAGTACGCCCTGGAGGAGCACGAGCAGCATAGACTGTGCAAATCCTCGGACTATATGAATTTGCACTTCACAGTTAAGTGGCTGCACTCCACCTACGTCAAGGACGTACCGCCATATAAGGGCGCCGTGCCAGAATATCCGGCCTGGTTCGAACCCTTCGTCATGCAATGGCTCAATGAGAACGATGACGTCTCATTAGAATATCTCCACGGTGCCTTTAGTAGAGATAAAAAGGACGGCGTAAGTAATATGCCACTATTTTATCCTGCACGAATCTCGATACATACGTTCTTTAATGGTTCTTCAATCTTTTTTTACAGTTCCAAAAGAGCAGCGAGCATGTGCTCTTCAGTGTCTCCGTTGTCGATATTTTCACACAGTTGACGCAGTGCTTCGATGTAGTATCGAGGCTGGAATGTTCAGACCCAGAAATCTGGAAGAGATACATGAAGAGATTCGCGAAGACTATCGTTAAAGTCCTGTTGGCTTATGCGGATATAGTGAAGAAGGAATTCCCTAGCCATTTGAAGGAAGAACGAATTGTACGTGCTCGAAATCCAGCGACAATTTGCGAACATTCGTGCCAAGTTATTGATAGGCTTTACTACAAATTGTTTTATTCCACAGGCGTGTATTCTGATGAACAACATCCAACAACTTCGGGTTCAATTAGAAAAAATGTTCGAGTCAATGGGCGGTGACAAGCTAGAGGAGGACGCGGCGAACATATTGAAGGAGCTGCAACAACAATTGAATGGAGCTTTAGACGATTTGGCTATACAATTTGCGAACAGTTTAGAACCGCGAATAACCGTTTCCGTTAAGGAATTAGGAGACCTTCTGTTGGCTATCAAAGGCGGAGGACAGGTAACTCTATCGCAACCGGCGCAAAGAAACAACGTAACCGTAGAGGCCGACGATGTTCTGAGGCCGCTCATGGTTCTACTCGACGGTAGCCTATCTTTGTATGCTGAATCGTGCGAAAAGACGGTATTGAAGAGATTATTGAAAGAACTGTGGAAGATAGTCATGAGAATTTTAGAAAAGACCGTCGTTTTACCACCTATGACGGATAAGAACGTACGTATTAAATCTTGTTGAAAAAAATTGATAGAATTTTATTAAGTGGCATGTGTGTTATGATTTATGATTCTTGTTTCTTAGATGATGTTCAAGAATCTGACGGATAACGCTAAGAATCTCGCTGCGAACGCCAAAATAGAAGATATGTCGAAGCTATTTAAGAATCATATGGCTGGGAAACCTGATGTTAAAAATGCTCTCAGTGGAGTTATGGTAATAGAAATACATTATTCAAGCCGAGAAAAAATTATTTGAATAAATTAAATTACCTACATTTCTGAAGGAAATTCGCTCAGAATTAAGCATTCTTATTCATTCAGGATATCTCCAAGGAAGTAGAAAAGAATCTTTCGCCGAAGCAGTGCGCGGTTCTCGAAGTTGCTCTGGACACGATTAAACAGTACTTCCACGCCGGCGGTAACGGCTTGAAGAAAACATTCCTGGAGAAGTCGCCGGAACTGCAGAGCCTCCGTTACGCCTTGAGCTTATACACGCAGACAACGGATACCCTCATCAAGACCTTTGTCACTTCGCAAGTCAATCAAGGTACGTCGCTTTTAGTTTATCATATTAAAAAATCTATAAATCGTAAAAATAATAACTATTATTTTTATATGTGTTTCTTGCTAAACAAAAATCGCTATAAAAGCGAGACTACATATGAATTACTTAATCAGGAATACACATGAATTAATTAGACACAAGCGATATATTCTAATGACACACACATTACACGTTCCGTCGTGCAACTATCGCGCGAGGAGTCGGTATATATTGGCGTGTGCGTGTTTACACTCACATTACGACGTAATGAAAATTGTCGGGACAGTGCCGCTGAACGATGCATCAACGCTACGTCAGCGTCAGCGTTCAATGAGCAGCGAGAGAGGTGACGAAGGGGAAGGAGCCGAGGGTATGGAAAGCCTCGAGGAACCCCTTCGCCAGAGCAAGCCCTCTCTACGTCGAGAGAGCCGACAAGGTACCACCAGAGCAGACCTTAGAAGGTCGCTGGAAGTGTCGGAGAGTCTTTTAAGCCGTAGTGAGTTAATCGTTTCGTCGAAACGTCTTTCGATGCAATTTGTCTTCTTCACTTTTCCACAGTATAATCTTTTACTAGCAATTTTAAAATAATTTAAAATGATGCCGTTTAATAAATACAGATAAATGGTCAATAAGATGTCTTTTAAATCTTCATGCTCTTGTCGATTCGTTACACTCTTAAAGAAGAAGAATGCTCTATAAAAACGTCTCGACAACGATAGCTGTGTTAGGAAGCTGTGCTGTTATCACTGCCGCTGCTGCTATAACTGCCGCCACTCTTGCTGCTACTACTGAGAACTTTATCGACCAGCAAAATGCCTCTTTCGGCCTCATGTTCTTTTCAATACAATGCTTCTGACACATACACATATCAAGAAAACTTTGTTACTTAATCATTAAATCACCATACACGATCTCAAGCGCGTGATATACTCATATCTAGCGCCACATTGTTCCTCCGAACATTTGAAGGAACAAAAACACCTAAAGAAAGGATTCACGGATTGATTGATCTATCGATCGATCGTCTGCACCATGGACACTTTGTATCATATGCACTGAATTTTCGGAGAGTGCTAAAATTCTCCGAATACAAAAAAAATTGATTAATTTTTTAAAATGTGAAACCAATAAAGTTAGAAAATTTATAATTCTCGACACACACTATGTGACTAAATCGTGAAAACTTCACTAAGGCTGACTTCGTCTTCTCTGATAATTACGCTGACAAGTACCTGACCTGCCTATTATCAGAGCATGTAATCTGCTCTAGAAATAGAAATAAAAAATAGACTCTCTTAGCCTTAGTTTCAGATCATAGCATCTCAGATAGAATCAGACGAAGTCCGCGTAGTATCTAGATGCCATTCTAGCTTCATGATCTTCGTACTCGAGCGTAAATTTTAACTGTAAACTCTTCAAGTTCCAGATACCGCCGGTTCGGACGAGGGTTCGGTGGGTGAAGTGAGCATTCAGGTGGATCTCTTTACACATCCGGGAACGGGAGAGCAGAAAGTCACCGTCAAAGGTACGATTTCACTCTCATAAAATTTGTATAATTAATCATATAATTTTGATAATGCTAATTAATAATTTATTCGTCGATAATTAAATTTTAAAAAATCTTTTATTTTTTTAGTTGTGGCCGCGAACGATCTGAAGTGGCAATTGGCATCAGGCATGTTCAGGCCGTACGTTGAGGTGAATCTAATTGGACCGCATCTTACTGGCAAGAAGAGGAAACAATCGACGAAATCGAAGAGCAATAACTGGTCGCCGCAATTCAACGAGAGCTTTGACTTGTAAGTTTCGACGCAAAATTTAATTTATCAATAATTACTAATTTATATTTTCGTAGACACAAAGTTTCTCTAACTATTGCCTTATCTTTGTTCTTAGTATGATTGGTAACGAGCAACAACAGCTAGACTTCTACGAGTTGCATATCTGCGTGAAGGATTATTGCTTCGCGAGGGAAGATAGGCTCGTCGGAGTCGCGGTGATGCAGCTTAAGGACATCGTCGAGGAGGGCTCGTGCGCGTGTTGGCTGTCGCTCGGCAAGCGTATCCAGATGGACGAGACCGGCTGGACGATCCTGCGCATTCTCTCGCAGCGCAACAACGACGAGATTGCCAAGGAGTTCGTGAAGCTAAAGAGCGACATCAGGCAGGAGACACTGCTACCGAATCCCACTTGAGGAGATACGACGTTGCATTAATAAGCCGATAGCGAAGCGACTCGAGTACTTCGAGCTTGGAAAGAGCCCGAAGAGGAGAAGAAAAAAAAAGAGCAGAAAGAAAAGGAGGAAGAGAAGCAGGAGGCCGTCCAAAGGGGATTAGCATTTGATGCCTTCGGTGCCACAAGCGAACGAAACCTTTCACGATTCCGCGAGAGAGAGTAATTCGCGCGATTCATCCGGCGAAAACGATCGCCCCAAACCCTTCCGCCCTTCTTCGCTAAGAAGCACACGACCTAGGGAGGGACAATCCTAGCAACGGGATTTGATTTACCGCGAAGCTTCTTCTCTCCATCTTTCCTCGCGCTGTGGAGTTCAGTCGAGCGTAATTCCTCTCCCTTTTTTACGAGACTCATACACACACATATACACACACAAAGCTTCAACCCCGTCCCTGGACAGCGACGACGCACCGGGAACTATCATCTTCCACAGATCTCGAGATAAGACGACGAGCTAGGTGAACCCCGCGTTCGACTTGGCGCTCGTCCTGCGTACTATTACAATAATGAAAAAAGGGTGATTCCTCCCTCTTGCATTTATAGAGAGCTAAAATAATCGGAGGAAGCGGAGCTCGACAACGACGCTCCAGTACTACATAAGACACATCGGACTCTTCTTCGTGGGTGTGTCGTAGGCGTGACGCAGAAGGAGACGAAGATACGAAGGAGAGAGTGTTCGCTAGGACAAAGACGCGAAACGTGAAAACAGTGCTGCCAGTACGCAATATATTTGGTAATATTCGTAACGTAAGATAGGACGAGAGATTAACACCGCGAAGAACTCAAGTACGGTGCTTCGCGCAGAAGGCGACAGAGACTCTCTCGATCGGACGCGCCGCCGTTCGCCGAAAGACTGATTTCGAAATGGAAGAAGACGAATAAGCGAGTCCACGTATGATGGGTCCTTGATCGCGACGCGGCCGCATATGCTAGAGACACAGAGCGAAATGCGATGCGTACATGGAACCGCAAAGTTTACGTGCCACGCATACATACACATTCACACATTACGTTTACACGCGCGCGATACGACCGCGTCGTTTCTAGGCCGTTTGTTCGGGAGGACGAGTTTACTGTAGATACGTGAAAACCTTGTTGAGACGAAGAAGTTTTTTCTAAATATACAGTTTAAATGTAGCATTGCGTACGACCAAATAGGCACGCCCTGTGACGTCACGCAGCGGCGTGCCGTTAGTAATAAAAACAGAAAAAAGTTAGTAAGGCATTGTAATTGTAAATTACGTTCTTATTCGTAAGATTATACCAGAAATGATCGTAAGAGTCTGACTGTTGCTGATGCTGTTGCTGCTGTTGCGAATGATACCGAGATCCGCCCGAAAGCTTCGACAGTTATACGCGAAAGCAGTGTAACTATTCCAGACCGTTGCGAGTGGAAGATGTACACGCGTTGATCCTGCGTCTCCAGGAATCGTATGTTAACAGGCAGGCCCGACACGCTACAAACGCGAATCCTCGTTCTATGAACTGGCGAGCGAGCGAGCCTACAAAATTGAACTTTACACTCCTGTAATTGGTGCTGTCGGTACTCGGATACTCGGGTATTTTGAATATTATCTAAGTGTGGCCGGTTACTTTGAGATATTATCAAAATTGCGAGTTGGATAATATTCGAGCTATCCGAGTAACATCCGTGAACTTTGACAGTGCTATCTGTAATCTTGTAGCACGCGCAAGTAATTATACCGTAGCTTTTGATTCCTCTTTAGCTATCGCTGTTTTTTACGGCAACGCCTATTTCCGAATACGACACGAGGCGCACTGGACTATTATTATTATTAGTACAACTATTGCTACCGTCTAGCTTCAGCGTGTCTTGTTCATCTTGCCTCGTGTGCATAGCGGACGTTCGCCCGTCCGTAGAAACATCTATTGCGTTCTCGCCGATCTCTCTTATCGGGCCAGCGGCGAAAGTGGATGGAAAATGATCGGTACTCTCTTCGCCACATCTACTACGATCGCACGAAGCTTCGGTCGGATCCTTCCGTGAGAGAAACTCGAAGGCACGTGACCTCGTATCCGATGAATCCAGTTAACGTCCAGCCCAGGGCTGCAGAGTCGGGCGGGGCAGGTACAACACAACTCCGGAGATTATATTCGCTATTATATTCAAAAGTTTCTACTACGTAGTACGTCTAGATTATACTTACGTATTGTGTATAGTGTCTAAAACTACTGATGTAGCTGCGAGCGCGGGATTTTCGATCGGCAGATAGAGAAAGAGAGACGAGAGTCATCTAAAAAGTGAACGATTATTTCAGCTGCAGGTGCTTACCAAATTTGAATACATCGAAGCGGCTATGAATGGAAGAATTCTGTGTAACAATGTTCAAATTTACTTCTTTAGGAACTATCTTTTCTAAGAAAATTGAAATTAGAAAAATTAATTAACATTAATGAATAGGAAATTAATAATTTGCATTCGCTAAGTTTAAATTGTTTAATTTGTTTAAATATTTTTAAAAAGAAAAATGGGAGATTATTAGCATACGATTCTTATATCTTCCGTTAATGGTATAAGATATCTAAAAATATATTAGATTTTTTAAATTTCAATTCGGAGATCAGTTGTTCATTTCAGAGATTATAAAGCATCTGCATCTGTATCTGTCGTTGATGATTTCGGAAAAATTCAAGCTGAAAGAAAGAAAAACACGGGTCCGCGATCTCGCCACCATCTTCATTTGTAACAGTGTAAAAGTGTCTATTTTCTCCGCTGCCTAACACTAAGTACATTACTTAATACAAAAGGGCTGGCGAATTCGGCACTCAGATCGGCCTCGTCGACGGGGACATCCAGACGATTACCTCGATGCTCGTTCCTCCCGGTCGCAGATCCACCGCAATCATCGCGACCGTCGACGGGGTCGGCCGTCAATTTTTCCTTCTACTCTCCGCTTCGATTAATATCTTGTAAGCTTAATGAAAATATCTCGTGTATTCTGTGATAATTACCCTTTAAAGAGAACACTGACACGTTACACTTTACACGCACAAGAAACATATACAAATACACGTACGAGGGAAGATCTGCAGACGGAATCCGCGTATGTGCGGAAGGTAAAAATTGTACAGAAATTGGAAATTACAGATAACAAAAATATAGATGCGACTACAACATTACACCGATCCTAAACATAACAACAGTATTTTTCTTCTTTAATTAAATACATTCCCATATTTCTATTCTCTGTAAACGTCCGAGGAGTCTTGTCGCGATAATAACGGAAAAAAAAGAAAGAGAGAGATATATATATATACATATTACATATATACAGAGTGATTCAGATTCGTCTGCACTTCCTTTCATCTATTGATTCCGCGACCAATTCGCAGTTGATTTTTCCTTAGCGATAGTTTTATCCTTTTTATTCACAACTTCCTAATATTAAATACATCTAAGTCTCAAGTAAAAATACTGTGAAAGTAAAATTCGCTTCGAATTGAATAAAGATTAAGGTTCCGTCATCTTTACCGCTCGTTGAAATTCTTAGGCTTTTTACCATCTTACAGTTTAAAAACTTATCGCTGCCTTAACACTTTTCGTTAAGGAAAAATATTCGAAATTGATCGGAGAGTCCTTAGATGGGCGAAACCTGGAACACCCTGTGTACTGCATCGACAAATCGTAACTTTTCATCCGCAATATTATCAGCTGCAAGGAGATACAAATGCGAAGATACAGGACGCAAAAGTATGTAGTGCATAACGACAAAAATGCTTTTAGCTTTTACTAATTGAATCCACAAATGAAAAAGAATCCAGGCATTCGACAAACTTGAGCAAAGATCTGAAAAAAATTATTAATTAGTAATTTATGCTTAAACTAGAGATAATTTTATGTTAATCTTTCTTAAAACATATTTTTCATAATTTTATATCATTCTCAATCCTCTGAGTGATAATTACAATTTTAAATAAATAAATTTTTATGTTTGATATTTTTTGGTCGGAATAATTCAGAATCATTTTGGAAGATCAAAGGCAAGTTATCAGCAAATCAAGCCGTAGTTATCTTCCGGTTTTCTAGCGTAAGAAAATTGTACAAAGAATGAAATGTTTACTTCTCGTTCGCATCAAAGGGCGGTTCCCAAGTGATGGCTGCAAACTTTTGCGTCCAACCGACGAAAACGTAGAAAATCACGATCGGAAATTCAAGGCAGACTCCAGATCGCTATAAACGAGCGAGATATACATTTTTTAGCAAGGAGAAGAGAAAGATCACATAACAAGAGGGAGATTAAGGAGAGAAAATAAAAGATATACACAACCGTTGACAATACTATGCTTGAAAATCGTATTGACACATATGTAATGTACCTAATAAATATATAAAACAAGACGGGGGATGTTTGTGTTTCGTAAGTAAAAGAGTATTAAGAGTAAACTCGTAATAGGCGCGAGGAGGCACGATGAACTCGCGCGAAACGCGGAACGCGTAACTTTCTGCGCGTATCATCTGCGTGATTTATTAGGTAATTACGACTAACGAGCGAAGAGAAGAAGCAGGTTTCGTCGTCTCACGGAAAGCGCCGTTATTGTCGAGAAAAATCTTTTCAAGCGAGAACGAGAACGAAGCGAAAGAAAGAATTGTAAAGACAGTAGGAGAAGATTTCGATGACACGTCGCCGCTATGCAGGCCGTCGAGCGTGCATGGTGACCCAAAGTAATTGTATCCAAGTATGAAACACGCACATTCAACACAAAGAATACCTGCGTAGAATATCCCGAGTACCGGAATCATCATCGATAAACGTTTTCGTTTGTTCACTCACACCGACCGCGTTGTTCTCCAGCGAACTGGATGCACATAAATGTATATAACACCACATACGATACACAAAATGTATACGCACGTGTACATGCGTACACATTGACACACACACACACACACACAAACACATACACGTGGGATAACGCTTGTGTGACTCCATATATTCACACGATCGAATTAAGCTCCGAACGCACGCGCCGTTGTTACGCTTCTCATCTCCGAAAACGGATCATTGTCATTATTACCATCATTATCGTAGCGAACGACGATCGCCCGATGAATACCAGTATTGTCCTCGTGATCGATTCGATATTCCGCCGTACCGGACGGCAATTGTGCGGTTCGAGCAAGCGCGAGTTGCCTCTCAAAATCCTGACAATCCTGGTGACATCAATGCATTGTGAGATGCGGTTCACGGAGGATGTCGGCTCGCATCAATCGCACCGTTCAACTAGTTATATTGAGATCCATACATACAGTATGACTTGCCTCGTTTTAAGGATATATCGTGCATCATTCATTAATATCGTGCCGCACGTAATTAGCGAATAAAAATTAAAGACGTAAGTCTCTTCCTTGGGTTATAAAAGATTCGATTTCGTATACGTTGAAGAGTTATCGATTCTAACGATGATTCGTTAATCGTTTCGTGTTAATACTAAAGATCCAGCTGTCGTATGGCCAATATCGAGTCCGTATTCTGACGGCGTATTTAGCGTAAATATATAATACGATCGTCTAAATCTCTCGCGTCACGTTGACGTTAAAAAAGCGACCTGTATTAGATGAAATAAAATTAAAACTCGGACGATCGTATTTTCAAGCGCTAACTATACCATGAGAACACGGCTCCGCGTTTATTATTTATTATACATTTACGTATTCAATGAGTTCTTGCATATATTTAGAGAATAATCGAGTGTATACGGACGGAATTCGAAGTGCGGTATAAAAGCGAGGAGACAGGAGATTTTAAATCCGATTAGTTAGATAATTACCGGGGAAACATTATAGTCAAATGATGAGAGAGAAAGAGAAAAGAGAGATGATCGAGAGAGAGGGACCTATTAGAGTTATATCATCGTTAAATCATTGCACATGCATACACACACACACACACCACGTGCCATATCATCGCATTATATATCAGAGGGAGAGAAAGAGAGGGAGAGAGAGAAAGCGAGAGAGAGAGAGAGAGAGAGAGAGAGAGAGAGAGAGAGACAGAATTTAAATACTGTTAATTTTAAGTCGTAGCTAAATATATGCGGTTGTATACATATGCGTAAATATATATATATATATATATATATATATATATACAGCGTGACGGAATCACGCGGGTGGAAATCCGGCACGTGTACAGCATTCGTTTGACTGTGATTCGTTGCTGGTCTTTATTCGAGTAATACGACATTGATATATATATATATGATACATATATGATACATATTCGGTGTGACAAGAAGGGGCGAATGAACGAATGGAGATGTACGAGATAAAAAATTATCATTTATGATGGAATTTCGATAACTAGCGATATTCATCTGATAAATGTTAAATATCAAAGTGAGCACTAAAGACGATTGTCTCGAAAGAATAGAAATAGCAATGCCTTTCTTGTTTATTCGCCTCTTCAAATGCATGTAAGCGGACGCAATGTGACAGTTCTCGCTGCTACTCGGATATCGACCGACACTATTTACTCGCGATCATAATTATTTCTCGGCTCGATCGGAGACCTCGTGGTTTCCGATTCGGTTAGGAAGACGAGGGGAAAGATCGTTAGTGCGAAACCTTGGTCATTCAATCGTCATCGCCATCGTCATGATAAGCGAGTCACACTCGCGTTGACACCGCACGAAGCGTCTGTTCGCCGTTGCCCAACCAAAAATATCCTTTGTAATCTAATTTTTTTTTTTCGCATCGACAGTACACACGCACGTGTAAGATATTATCGCATCTCGATCGTGTAATCACAGAATATATTGCACATACAATTGCACATATTATATACATATTTACAAGTGTGTATATACATTATATATACATATACATATATATATATATACATATACATGGTCATGATCGCGATCCGTGTTGCTGTCTCACCCGCTCGATCGCAGTAAATCTGACTATTATCACTTTCACTTTATCTTTCCTCGAGCGATATTCGAATCTATTCTAAAACATATCTAAAACTCAGAGAAAACATACTTTTCCGCCCATTTTCACCACAAATAATATTTTAAGAGTCATATTATATTATTATACAGGATGTCTCTCGTTCTCTAAGCGCGCTTCCTTTAAACTGCAAATTTTTCTCAATCAATCTTAAGTCATCTTACAAAGAAATGAACAACTTTATGAAAATTTAAGAATCGCAACAAAGATAATATTCCTTATGTTATGTGAAATTATATTCTTCAGTTAATTTTAAGTGGATTTTATTCGGATTCTAATTTAAAACTCATACGATATTAAATATTAAAGGATATAAATTACGATATATTTATCGAGACAAAAATTTAAAATTAAGTAAAAGATTCTTTGGACAAAGGGCATGCAGTTCGGAGAAATTACGCTTAAGGAAAGATATCTTGTGCAAATATATACAGACTGTTTATTATTGTATCATAAATTGTCTATATCAGCTTTACTACAAATACTACTTCGCTAAACATCTAAAAGGAAAGTGGGAAAGATCCCAAGGAGAAATCCCGAGACAGCCACGGAGCGGTGATTTTCCGAACGCCCATTATCCCATCGAAATTTTACCCCCTCCCCCCACTCCATAAAAATTCTGATGTTCCACACGTATTCGTCTTCATGTGTTACCATGGCCTTGTTCTTTTTAACTGAACTTCTTGCGTAGTTCATGTTTGTTCCATTTCTCTTCACGTTGAAGAAAAAAAGGAGGAAAGATGAACCATGCAAGAAATTCAAATAAAAAAACACGCCTTGTATCTGTTACGATTAGAGTTGCCAGATTTTTTTTTAATACCAACATATTCGAGACATGTGTGAGGCGATAATTGAAAAATGGATTATTAAAGTACTGGAACTATATATATGTATATATTTTCAGTTAGTATCTCCACATAAACCACGATTATGGTTAGTATCTCCACATAAACCACTAACTGAAAATACACCATAATCGTGATTTATGTAAGGATACTAAAAATTTAACTCAAATACTTTAATAATCCATTTTTCAACCATCGCCTCAGACATATTCCGGGAATGTTGGTATAAGATCTGGTAACTCTAGTTACAATACGCTACGCCGTGTTTTTTTTTTTTTCGTTTTCCTCTTTTATTTTGCGCAAATACAAGTACGCAGGTAAACGGTTTAAGCGAGAAGTAAAGCGAATGAGAATATTCACACACCCCAATCTTTTTCAGAACAATTTTGCATGAGAAAGAATTCTTCAAAAAAAAAAGAGACGAAATACATCTTACTTGCCATTTTTCATGTATACTCTTGTTGCTGCGTTGCGACAAAACAAAGAAACAGAAAAATGGAACTAGAAGTATTCTGATCTTCTTGGGATAATTGTACATAAAAAAGAAAAATATTGTTGTGAAGTATTTCAGAATACATTTCGTTGACATTGTGTTAGTGTATTAAAAGTGACAGATGGAGACGGGCGCTGATTTTACAAAATTGATTGCGTTGCGTTGCATCGTCGTATATACTTCCGCGTTGTAAATGTTTTTTAAAAAAAAAATCATGTTGCCTATGGTAAAGTTGTTTGTATCGCGAGGAGGAATCGTAGCGGTTGCATTTCGCCCGAACTCTGATCTTCGAAAAAATCTCGTCGATTTTCGAGAAATGATTCTATCAACGTCGTTCAATTCCCTGTAATAGCAAATGATTGTTTATTTCTAGATTATAGCGTAATACGTAGAATAATATGTATAATGGACGTAATTTAGTTAATTATAAGTAAAACTGTTAAATCAGGTTGGCAGAATCGGTCCGAAAATGCGAAGACGAGCTTGTACTTATAAACGCTCGGACGATCCGGTGCAGCCGCTATCGTGCCTCTAGCGATTCTGTAAAGTAACGAAATTTTACGATTGACGTCCTAAGAGAAAAGTAAACGAGTCACACGTTCGATATGACAATTCTTAATTTCGCATTTCCCCACCCGTGGTCCGTTCGCACACTTCTCTCGTTCCTCGTTTTTGCGATCAATGTACCATATCCGAAGGGTGCTCTTAAAGTGGAATAGCGAAACGAAAAGTGAAAGTGAAACTTGCAATGTATTAAGACGGTGCGTACCGTTGAGCGAGGGGTAGAAAGGATGGCTTTCTTATTGGGATAAGCTGCCTCAGGGGAAGGTAATCCAGGGACTCTAATAAACTTATCCGAAAATACTTGCCTCTGAAGTTATTCCATATTCTGTCGCCGGGGCTGTGTCCATGATCCTCCTTTATTCCATCCTTTGTAATACTTTTCATGTAAAGCTACCAGATTATATTAAATTAAATTGAAATTTGCAAGCTGAAATATTTTAGAATATTTTTAAAATACCGACTCTATTCCTACACGTTAAGATGATACATTTTCGTAAGTATTAAAATACTAGAATTGTTTTTTCATAAATGAAATCACTTCATATTTTGTGTCAATAAAACTTCCATCAACAAAAATTGAAAATTTGGTAAATATAATACATCCAACATTTCTCAAGAATACTGAAGTAAAAATATCTGTCATAATAGCATTGTGGTATTTCAAATCACAACTATTATAGGAAATTGATTTATCAAGCGACAATAAGTGTTTTTCATGGAATACCAAGAAAGATACAATGTTTGTATCAACTTGTGTCACTAAATGGGAAGCATCCTAATATATAAAAAGGTCGTTTTATGTTTGCAATCCTTTCATGATTTCCTTAAATTCTAATTCACACACAAAACACAAGTAATATATTATATTATATTAATATATAACACTTATTTATTACTACATTTTCCCAAGGAAAAAACACATACATATTCACTGTACAATAAAAGTTAATAGAGTTCCTCTAATGATATTCCCATGCGTCTTTAGGCGCAGTGATAAATTTCCTGCACTCCTCTGCAAATGCAACTTCTCTCTGTAATAATAAATAATAATCATGACATCTTTGCTTACATCGAAAGTATCTAAATAAATAATAAAACGATTTCATGTACAATTATTCTTCTAATGACGATCGATATTAATTTCAAACAAAATGACCCTCAAGTTAAATGGTGCTTTCCAGTAAGAAGTACAGCGTAACAAAATGATCATTTTATCTTTGTTTAATATTGGCAAACAAAGATGTAATGATTCACTGACTAATTGCTTTCTAATTTAACATAATTGATACTGATTTCAAATTACACGAGTATTTTATACTCAGATAATAATGTATATCATTACTTGTTTATTTTAATGACAAAGTTATTGTATAACAGGACAGGTTTTAAAGCTTCAATTTTAAAGTGAGTTAACAAGACTCAGTAAAGTACATAGTCTTGAGTTTATGTAGATGCAGGTAAAAATTTAGTTGAATCTCACTTGTCAGAATGAAAAAGAACATGCATTTCTGGGTTATGACGTCACAAATGAAAACTACCCAAGTTTTGGTATAAATGGAAAGCACTGTCTCAGCCATATCCCTTAGTAGAAAAGCACCCAAAATTTAATTGACTACCGTTAAAGAAATCTGAACTTAGGAATTTAAAATCACAACAATCGGAAAGGTTACCTTCACCAAATCTTTATTCGGTATTCTCGGATATGGACCAAATGGATCGTGCGATCCCCACAACCAATCGGTGGCTATAAGGACGTTCATTCCCATCATCATTAATAGAGCCGTGGAACCTACGAGTTTTTGGTACATTTTCGAGCAAGCGTCGAAGAACCACGAGCTAACCAAATTATTTTCTTCGATCAAGAGACAAGACGTAACAAGACAACAAGACAGTAACCTCTTACGTCAAACCAACAGTGACGCCAACAAAGTTGTGGTTTGTTTGAAAAATTCCTAGATGACACACAGCTGGTTAATCAATTTCATGAAATTTGTCAAAATTCATATTATGCAAAATTTCTCTCGTTCTCCGAATCATCGATTTATTCGACCGAAAATCAATTTTGCTGGCATTTTTATGATTTTAATATCGAAATGTCGAATTCTATCCAAGTATTGGTGGCTAACTTCACGCTTTCCACTCGGAAAAGTAACTAGTCACGCGCGCCGAATAAACTCCGCAGATGTCGGTGTGTTTTCTGCTTAATTATATATTGTTATAAACACAGCATTTTAATGCGCGATGAAATAACCTAACGAATTTCCATATCTGCGTGAGTAAGCATTTTGTAGAAAGAGATCTTCTCGAATTCTTTCTTGAATTCTCGTGAGCCGTTATGAGGAGAGAAGAATTATCAGCGAATTTGATTGGATGGATTGGATGCATTATTAAAGCCGTTGTACACAAATTGACGTAAAAATATATATTTAATATAAATGAGATATGATATAAATTCTACGTGAAACCAGGAATTAATAATTTTTTTCGCGAAACACGTGTCTCATATTTTTATCTAAAATATGTTAGCAAATTAGAAAGAAAACGAAAAATGACGATGTTTTAAAGTTGTCTGATTTAACGTGGAATGTCTCAAATACAAAAAACGGACTAAACCATGAAATCTTTAATTCATCTTATTGTACTGTTAAGTGAAATCTGTATTTTGTAATTCAAAATATTTGCATATTTTACTTGTTACGCATAACAGGTTTCGTTTGCTTGTGAAATTTAAATTTTACATTTAAAATGAGATAAATATATACTTGGGAGTTGAAGAAAAAGAAAGCGAAAAATATTGAGTACAATAGATATTTTTGCACTCAGAGTCCTTGCTTTCTCTTTTTTCAGAACCAAATATGTGCCGGCAATTATGAAAGTGTTTCAAGTAAAAAAAATAAATTACAATGTAATTATACATAAAATAGGATAATTCATTAGATTTCGATTTTTTACTTAGACTACTTTTATAATTATATATGCACACATTTCATTTTAAGTGCAAAAATTTTTGAAGACTTCAAGCAACGCGAACAGACTAATAGCGTTTTCGGCCCGACCGGGTTTGCACCAACCTGGGTTGGATTAATGGCGTTTTGCGCTCTCCTATTGGTAGAGCGTGTGACATCAACCAATAGGAAAGATTAATCCAACCCAGGTTGGTGCAAATCCGATCGGGCCGAAAACGCTATATAGGTCTGCTTTCCGTGGCTGAACAAGTGTACACTTTTGGAACTTAAAGTGAGACAGGTATATGCTAGATATTTGTCGAAAGCGAGAAAGAGAGTTGTAGTGCAGGAACAGAAAACAATAAGCTACCCTAGTAGTGTACAGCGGCTTTAATTTGGTTTAATACGCACTAGTGCGCCCAACCGAATTCGCTATAAATCCGCGCGGCGCCGACAGGTGGCGGCAACGGTACGCGGCGCGGAACGGGAAAAGCCGGCAGGTAGTCGATCGTTGGCCGTCACCGCGCGAGGACGGCGAGGTCGTCCTTGGTTCGACTGTCGGGTTATCCAGTTGCGCGCGACGCAATTGGTCGAACGGCTCTTCCACAAGCCCCGCCTACCAGGTGGCCGTTCGAAAGTGTGTAGTCGTGTTTCCTTACGGCGAAACGACAGGCGCTGCTTCTCATCTATTCTACCGGACTGTCGGCGTTCAGTTTATAGGAGGAAAAAAACCACGGGGATGAGTCGCGTCGGTCTGGTAATATGCGACGGTTGAGAAGGATCGGAGCAGGTGGGAAATCGCGAGCGCGCACGAGGGTGGTTCGCTGTTAAAAGAAAAACATCGTCCACGGGGTGCTAAAGCTGCGGTATCGTGTCCGGGGTGGGGGGGAACCTCAGCGATCGCGAGTATAGTGTGTCGACAGTCGTGAGAGCGAAAGAGAAGGAGAGCAAAGAGCATACAGCAAACTGTGCGGGAGAGGAGGAGGAGGAGGAGGAGGAGGCGACGACGACGACGACGACGGCGGTGGAGGTGATGGTGTGAGCGTGGCGAGAAGGAAAAACACGTTTCGCGAAAGAACGTCTCGTCTCGCGTCGAGAGTTCCGGCTGAAGATATCCGTCATCATCGGGTGTCGTCGTCTCGCGGTGTTACGTTCCGCGCGCCGTACGGCGCGAATATCGCGCCGCGCGAAAATTTGTGCGTTCAACGAAGGGTGGTGAGAAAAGAGGCGAGAAGAAAAGAGAGAGAGACAGAGAGCGAGAGAGAAAAAAGGGAGGCTGGAACACAGAAACGCGCGCGAGTGCCGTGCGATAGAGGAAGAGAGGAGAGAGAGAAGAGAGAAAGAGAGAGAGAGAGAGAAGGCGCGTTGTCGTCGTGCGCTGCTTCACGGCGTTGCCCGAGTAGCCAGACGAGCGGAGGACGTCAGCTGTGTGGTGCGCCGAGGGGACGGCGAGTCGTGCGCGCGGGTTGAAGCGAGACGGTGCGGCGCGAACGAGCGAGCGAGCGAGACAGTGAGAAGCCGCACACGGCGAAATGGGAGACGGAGAAATGGCGCTGGTGCCAGATGTCCAGTATGGTTTGTCGTCGCACGGCAATTTCGACGAGCGCAAATCCCTGATATTTGTCAAGCTCACCGACTCGTCGCAACGTGCCATCAAGGAGTACCTCAAGATTAAGGTGAGTGCGTTTTCTCCCTTGTCCGTCGGTGTTTCTCGCACGTTTTAGGGAGGCTAGGATCGTCGCACTCGCGCGTGCGCGCAAGCTCGCCGCGCGCGTGTACGTATATATGCATGTGTGTGTGTGTGTGTATGTGTGCGCACCGCAGGCACATACGTGCACGTAAGTACGTGCGTGTGTGCGTGCGTGCGTGTCACCGCAAGAAACAGTGGCGTGTATGCGCGCGCGCGCGTGTCTGCGTACGTGTGTCGTAATATCGTGCCAAGGAGAGAGAATAAGAGTCTTGGCGAGAGACACCCGATCGTGTCGTGTTGCTTGCTCGCCATATTTCGTGCGAAATTTCGTCGCGACGACGTCTTCCCGTCGCCGACGCCTGGGAAGACGTCTTCGAGGGGCTCGGTCCCCCCTCCCCCCCCTCTCTCTGTAGCTTCCCCTCTCTTTAATTATTGCTCCGCTTCCTCCTCCATATATCTCTCTCTCTCTCTCTCTCTCTCTCTCTCATCTCTGTCTCTCCTCGCAATCCGTTCTCCAAGATCACGTTCGAGAGAGGGCCACTCGATTCTTTGTCGAACAGCTGCTCTCTCTTTCTCCTTTTCTTCATCCCCTTTTTACGTCCGTTTCAAGATGAATTTTCTCGAAGGCCGGTAAACTCCGAAAATTCGACACGCTTCCCTCGGTCTCGGTATGTGGTCGCCCTTTTTCTCTGCGGCTTTGGAGTAACAGCGGCGCCGAGCGAGTTAAGCGAGCGAGTCGCGCGCGATGTCGACACGTCTGCTGCTTTGACAACGGCAAATTACGTAATACACGAGAGCGCGAGAACGAGCCATACTGAATAAAAAAAAAAGAAAAAGAAAAGTCCACCCCGTACGCGTGTAACGGGATTCGAACGCATTTTCGCGCCTACGGAGTAGTCTCTGACGAGACGATGCGAGAATCTTTTTCCAAGTCTCCCGAATACTGCTCCGACGTAATCGCGAGGATCTTGCAAGGATCCACCACGAGAGCGTAAAAACAGATGAATTATCTCGTCGCGTAGTGTCACGTCGCCGTTGCAGATGGCAAGATTTCTGCAAGCTAATCTCCTGGACGCGCTCGTCTGCGAATTTTCCTACTATTTTTTTTTGTATCCTCCCGTAATTCTCAATGACTGTTAAATACCGACGTGTCGGCGATTCGGGCCGACCGGATCGTCCGGGGCCTAAAAAAATTGTAACACGTGGTTTCTGTCTCGTCTCTTTCTCTTTCTCTCCTTCTCTCTTATCTTGATTATGATGTACTCGCTATTATGCTTTACCTCTTGATGCGATAATTTGTTAGCTAGTTTGCATTCAGCAGGAGTGATCTTTAAATAGTTTTTCATTTCTCGAGTGTCTCTCACCTTGCGTCTTTTGAGAGTTGAGACTCTCATATTCGTTTGCCGATATATTATTTTCTTTCCTGATTTTATTTTTAAAAAAACATACTTTTTGCAATTATAGTCTCTCTGTTTTTATGAAGTATTTTATATAATGTTTTTGACAAGCGCTCGAGGGGACTGTATCTCGGAGCGCCCAATAAATTCCGATTCAATCAATCAATCAATCGGTTTTTTTTTTATTACAATAATATTTTGCTGTGTATTTTCAATCGTTATTATTTTTTCTTTTCACCGTTAATTCGATTTCTATTACTTGTAATCAAATTTGCTTTATCAATTGTTGTTTTGTTTAGCGCTTGAGAGAATTTTCTAGACTATATTCTTAGAGCGTTCGACGAATAGCGATATCTCGTCTCCTTTTCTCCGTCCGCCCTTTTTATTTTTACAACTTGTGCGATTTTCTGACCGCGCGCGTTTTAAACCGAGGAATATACGCGGTCTAACGAGCATGAAGCGTTGTAAAGCGATTGCGAATTCTTACATCAGCTGATTCTAACCTCTCGGACGAGATTCGAAAGTAGAGGAGCCGTGGCACGGGTGGGGCGTGCCTTCGTCAAAATATCGTCGTTGAATGTGCGAGTGCCTTTATATCCCCGAGACGGCGAGATAGCGAGAAATTTCGTATGCAACCTCGTCGCTTTGGGTATCGTCGATATCTCGTCTTTTTGTTTCTTACTTTTATTACGTGACTTGTAACGAAAGCCTCGCGACGCGAATTGCGGTATACACGTTGCGGCGACGTGCCGGTAAAGCAACCGGAAAACGATCTCGATGTAAAACAATTTTCGCCGTCCGGTATTTTCAAACGGGCGGGGGAAAACGACACTTGACGCGAAAATCGACTTTTCCTATTATCGCGATGAATATTTATTTACGCGCTGCGAACCGATCGCGGAAAGTTCCGTCGCAAATAGATTCTATGAGTTTCAGAAGCCGTGCATTTGCTCAAACTCGTTTAAGTAATGAGATTTTAATATTTATCCCTACCCTAGCTCCGTTTCGGATCATTGAATCACTAACCACTTTGATAAAATAATGTTAACAATTGACGTCACGTATAAAATTAACATAGTGACATAGCAAAATCACTTAAATATTTCATCTCCATCTGTGTATCTCGATTAATATTAACCATCTATGTTAATTAATATTAGACATCTACGAGAGAGATAACCGAGAACTTGAAGTTATCATGTTGAAATAGATATCTCTTTCCGTTATAATCCATAATACATCGACGACATTGAGAATTATCTGTTTAAGACGTAATAAATTGTTGCGGCAAATAGATAGTGTATCAAACAAAATTAAACATGTGAAGCATCTTCACGCGAACCGAGATTTTCCCGCTTCGACATTCCGTCTGCCAGTAGCGACCAAACATTTGAATGAAAGAGTTTAAAAGTGCAACAAACGAGAGACCTAGTTTTCGAACGAGAGAGAGAGAGAGAGAGAGAGAGAGAGAGAATGAAGAAGGTCGTTTAAAAAAGCGCAACAAGGTTCGAATCCCTTATGCTTCCAAGGGCCGGTTCGGCTTGCTGCTGTGTCGGCTGTATCCCGTAAGAAAAGGGGCGTTCCCCTTCGAGAAGTACAGCTGTTCCTCGAAACTCGAATAACCCGAACTGAAAGAACCGGGCTGTATAACGACCGCTTGTATGTATTTTATAAGCGGAGAGAAAATCCATCTCTCCCTTTTTATTACTTTCTTTTATTACCCATCTTGTTAATCTAGAGGCTAAACGGAGTGTCATGGCTCGAATTGTTATTCAGATTAAAGAGATAGAATGATAAACATTATATTGAATGAGCGATTTGATCGATACCGTGAACGAATTCTCTTCTTACATTTATTTATTTAATTTACCTAAAAAGAATTTATGGAATGTACATTCTAGAATTTATACGGAATTCTCGAAAGTTATTGCGCTATTCACATTTTTATCGAGCTCTTTTATTTGTGTATAAATATATATTTTTAAGACCTTTGCTTGTAACTTAAATATTTGATCTCTTCCTTTTTAAAGTAATCGTATACACTAAAAAAGTTATGTCAATAGCATTATTTTAATTGAAAACAATTCTATTGTTTCAACATATAATACTGTTAATGAAACAAACACGTTTTATTCTCGTTTTAATACAATTTTATTTATTTTGTTTCGTTAATACTGTTGTTAAATCGGTAAGGTTAATTTTTAATTTAAAAAATACTGTTGATCTTTTTTTCTCAGTGGTCTACAAACAATTTGATAGTTTGAGATTTTTAGAGACAGTTTCTCTTGGAGAAGTTTTTCATTTTTAGCGTAAAGAAAATGTTCTAAAAAGAAATTTAGAAAAAACATTAATCATTCGAAATACCTACTTTAGGAAAGCTATTTCTAAAAGAAATAGCGAGAAAGAAGAGCTAGGCTATTGTAACGATTCCCTATCCATTGTAATGATTTTGCCTGACGTTTTTATCCGACCCTTTTTTCCCTCCCACCTTTCTTTACAATTTTTCTCATCCTTTTTTTTGTTTGTCTCCAATGTGTACGTTTCGTTGTATTTAAATAACTGTTTCTATAGGCTAGTAGCGATTTAAAACGTCAACAACCTTTTTTTGCAAAGTGGTTTTCCTATAAAACTGAAAATACTGTGGAACTTTCCTTCAAAATCTTCCAAACTATAAAACCTTTTTCGACTGTTTTCTTTTTCCTCTCCGTCTGTGTTCTTTCATAATTAAACAATTTTCATAACTCCCACATTACGTTATGTTTTCATCGTGCATAATAAAAAAATGACAAAATTTTATCGATAAGAAACGTTCGAACGATCACGGTAGTATAAAATAGGAATCAGGTTATCCCGAGATTTGAAGGTTAACGTAGATTTGGGCGATACGTAAATTTATCATAAAATTAAATCACGATTCAAATATTCGCGCGTGCGCCAAATTTTTTTGGGATCTTCGTTTTTTCCCCCCTTTTTTCCTCTCTTGTGCGCGCTAAAATACTCTGCACTGTTGGGAGACATAGAACGCAGCGAATGGAAAGTCGAGTGATATTAACGCGCAAGATGCATTCCTCGTGGCATATAAAGTACGCATCGGCGTCGTTAAAGTAGTCTCGGTAGAAAGAGAGAAAAAAAAAGGAGTGTGTGTGTCTCATCTCGTAATCGCGCTATTAAATTGGCGACTTACATACGTCAAATGCCTCCAATTTACGCTTGGTATAGAATAAATTATGCGAGGTGAAAGTGAATGCCGTCTGTGCGAAATCGTACTTAGGGGGTTTTGGACGGGTGAGAGGGAGGTACGCTTCAAAAAGCAAAGCCGATCGTTGAAAACCTTGAAAGTGTCCAACTGGTCTCGTAATCCCTGATGCTGATTACGATTTGCTCGCTGTATAATATATATAAAATATTTGATGTAAAAACAGGTGGTTGCGTGTCCCGTAAACATTATTCGCAGACGGATTCACGTAACGTGAAAGAGAAAAGATGCGTCATTTTAAATATTACTCGCGTTTATTTCGGGATTTTTTTTATTCCGCGAAAGCTTGAAATAGTAAATCAATATTTCCGCGACAGTCCATTTTACATTATG